ACGCAAATAAAATTTCGTAAAACGGAAAAAAGTTTTATGTCACTTATTTGATTTTCAATTAAATATCTAAGCATTGTATATAAGGAAAATAAGTCTGTATGTGAATATTGTTTCACCAGTCTAAAAACGAATAAAGAAGAAAGCATGTTTTTAGTTAAAAAAGGAATAAGGAATGGACGCAAAAGTACACCGAATGTAGTGGGAGGGAATGTCTATTCTGAGTGTAGAGGGGGCACGCACGTCAGCCAGAGCTGTAGTGTGTATGTGAGCAAATAGTCTCTGATGTGAGCGAGTGAGTGAGTGAGGTTACTAGCCTACCTGGGTCGCCGAAAGAAGGATCTGAAGTGCCTGTGTTTCGGCTACAAAAACCCGCCGAACTGATCCGAAACCAGCCCAATTTTTATCCACCCGCCCAAACCCATTTTTGCCCGCAAAATAGATTGCAAAACCGCCCAATTGGGCGGCTTACCCTTTGACCTCTGGTTCTTTCGCGGGCTTTGCACGTGAGGTGTAAAATAGGTATAAAATAAAATATATTTTTTCATTTATTTATTTATTTTATTATCTAAGGCTATTTTATTATAATTATGTATTTATCTGGTACAATTAATAGATAAATAAAGAAATAAAACTGCAGTTAGTCTACATTATGTAGTTTTTTAGTAAAAAAAATAATAGTTAATTTTACAATTATTAATACTGATATTTGTATTATTAGTATTATTACAAGGGGGGGGGGGGGGGGGGGGGGGGTGATTGTTTTTTCCTTCGATTGTTGAAATTCACCCAAGCAGGTTTTACATAATGTTGGCACCCTGAGTGTTGAAAACCTTTGTTGTAGGGTGGCCTATATGTTAATTGAGTCAAACCATTTGAGTCAAGGCATTCAGGAATACCATTAACCCTACGCTGGTTATATTCATTAAAATAACATGTCTGTGGATGTTCTCTAAAGCAGTGGTTCTCAAAGTGGGGTCCGCGGACCCCTGGTGGTCCGTGAACTATAGCCAGGGGGTCCGCGAAATAATTTATAACAGCCTACCGTTTTTCCCGACTATAAGTCATGTTTTCTTTAGCATCTGAAAACTTGCTATTTATTCCAAAGTGACTTATATAATGCATTTAATGTCAAATAATATTTTTTTTTGATTTTTTAATCGATTTTTGGGCACGTGCGCCAGAAAGGAGACAGAGACGGCAGAACGCGCATCCTGTTGTGTTCTTTATTTTTAAAAGGCATGACATTTTGTAGTCATTTTTAATGTATACACAAATAAAAAATAGACACTTTGCCGTTTTGAATGATGTACTCTTATCTGTATGACCATAAATAAGAGTATTCCTTTGTTTCCACTGCTGAGGAAAAATCCAAGTGTTCGCGCCGGCGTCTCGTGTGCGCGCACAATATGTCAGTTCTAGCACTGCTAATTTGACATCAAAACCTCTTCATTATCAAAATAAAATACTCACCGAACTTATAAAAAGTTCTACTTAATTTAATTTGTCTGTTGTACACTATGAAGGCAGTGACGGTCAATCATATACTGTCGACTTGCTGTTGTTCCAATCTCATTTCTCCGCATGTGAAGATGCTGATACGTGTAGGCCTAGGCCTATATTGGGACTGAAGCATGAAGCTTTCTTTACATAAATAGTTAAGCATCCAAATGTTAGGCTACATCGCAAATATGGAAACTTTGGACCGAATGAGAGATGCACGAGCCCAACGTCTGCAGTTTCAGTTTCGATTCAACTTAATTCGTTTAGACTTGATGTTTTAAATAAATGTTGTCTGTATAGTATTATTATTATTATTTGTATTATTATCTATTAATAGTATAATTTTTCATTCTCGTTTTGTTCTGAATACCATTAATTTAAGGATTTGCTGTGGAGTGAGGGGAAGTAGGCCTACTACGCCTCAAGAGCGCAACAAAGTATTACACACTCAGGTGCAACTTATTTTCTGGAAAATACAGTAAATTATAAATTTGTGCATAGGGACAGGGTCGTATACCCACAATTGAGGTCCCTGAGGTCCGGGCCTCTGTAATTTTTCTATGTGTATAATGAAAGTTGTGAAATAATTGCCTAATATTAACTCTAATTTGGTGCTGCAAGGATATTAAACATCGCGATGATAACTGAGCTTCTCATCTGAGCGGTTTCAGCAGACTAACAGCGCTCGTCAATGTCAAAATGTTTGAGTCGGAGATTAAATCAAAGTAGGCGGGTTTATGTTCACAGAAGCTGCAAGCCGAGCGCGAATTTCCGCATGACGCTTCAGTTATTCGGTCATAAAGTGCGAGATAAGATGTAAATCGCTAAACTAAACAGCTGTTTTAGATAGAAGTTTTAAACGAACGACAGAAACAATCAGTTTGCAAAGACAAAGTATCAACCGGGAAAGGAAATATAGGGGATAGCGGGGCACAACGTAAATCCCAGTTGTGCAAGTGGGTCATGTTGTCACACTGCGTTACAATGAATATGTTTTGAACTATGTTGTAATATATAGCTGTGTGTTCGTTGTCAAACTCAAAAATTAGTTTATTTTTAATTATTTTAAAATGCCATTATTTTATATGAAAAAGTTCATTGTATTTTATTGAGAAAATATTTTTGTTTGTCTTGTATATTTGTTTGATTAGATCAGATAACATTTTAATCTGTCATATGGTCATGTTACCATGTGCCCCACCTATGGGACATGTTGTCACATTGCACTTCCATTCTTTCTGGGTATATCAAGAATAAAAGTAAAATTTTTGGCCTTAAAACACCTTAAAATGCACGTGTAGATCAAAAAAATCTAAAATTCCTCGGGGGGGGGCATGCCCCCCAACCCCCCTAGCAAGATCACTTTTGGGACCTCAGTATGCTATTTAGAAAACCCTGCATATGACCCTGGGTGGAGACTATTTGTGTCAAAATATTTAATTAACCGCTCCCACATTAACTTTAGGCTCAGTCACTGTTATAAATATGAGGGGGTCCTTGGAAATGTTTTTCCCCTGTAAGGGGTCCCTGGCTCCAAAATGTTTGAGAACCCCTGCTCTAAAGAACAACTATGTGTGTGTGCACCTCAGTAGGATCAGTAGTACTTGAACTATAGGTTTATGTTAATGCCTAAGACAAATAATTTGACACGTTTCATCAAGCCAAAGAGTCCCAATTACCCACACACCCCATACTATTTTCTTCTCAACAAGAAAAGGTGTTTTTTTCTAGAACATCTGTATCTGTTTTTCAACGCCAATAGGATCAGTGTTAAAAGGACAAAGAATCAAAACATTTTTCTAACTCACAGTTAAGGTGTTTAGAAGTGGAACTGGCGGGGGAAGAGTGCATCCTAAATGGGTTTGTTAATGGGTTTACAACAGTTGCTCAGGCTAGATGTTTAAAGAATGACACTTCATCAAAAGCTTTCTGGTGATTCACACTGATTCACACTTGATTCACATCTTTTAAGTGTATATAAATTTGGGATGCACTCTTCCCCTGTATTTTTACAGATACAGATGTTCTAGAAAAAACACCTTTTCTTGTTGTGGGTCATCTCCCGGTGCAATGGTGACGTTTACATCAGGAAGGGATTTTCACATATTACAAAATTGGTCTATTTCCATTTTACAGCTGTCCTGCCTCCTGATAAAGCCCAAGCTCCAAATGAGGATTGACTTCACCTGATCCCGAGACAAACATTAACCTGAAGCAGCGTTTGGTCTTTGATGAGTTAGAAGAGATTGTAATTGTCCATTTCCATGCATTACTGTGGATGTAGGATTGAGCATGTACCGTCATTTTTAAAAAGCCTATACAGTATTGGTACACCATTATTACAAAAAAGGTATGCAGTGTATGTTCTCGCTAAATTGCTCTCAAATGTAAGATTGTTGTATAATAGTATAATAATAATATAATAAGTAGGCTACCCCATAGTTCTATAATACTTACAGTATAAATAATTGTTTTAATTCCCCTGGTTGTTACCCCTTTATTCCCTAAACTTTACATATTGTTCCCTTATACTTACATGCGAGTACTTTATAGGTACACTATAATTACTGAAAGTTACACGGTAAAATCACTTTAATTACGCAGTAGTGTCCGGGCTGTAATCTAAAGCGTTACCATAATTTGTATGTGGTGTAAATGTAAGGTGACTCAAGCATGAATTAAAACGCGAGTACGTTAATGCTGATTTAAAACACCAGATATGACCATTCATTCTTTAATTTATGTATTGTAAACTAAGAATATTTAAGCTCTTTGTCATTGAATACCATTCAAAAACATTCCTACCATATGGAGGAAATAACTGACAGATATAGATTTGTATAAAACGTGTGCCAACCATAATTAGGGGACAAATTTGTACCCAGAAGTGTGCTAAATCAAACACCCAAGGACGTAATCATTAGTTAAAATGGAATAAATGTGTGTGTGTTTTTGAAAGTACAACAATCAAGTTCTGTTTTGTTAAGGATTAGATGTTGGCAAATGAATTAGAGATTAGCAAATAAAATGACCGTATTAGGTATAAATTGGCATAATAGAATATGAATACTGTAGAGAATGATTTTTTAATGGCATGGGTACTACATGAAATTAAAATTTAAAATAAAACATCTATAAAAAGGAACATCAAAACAGCGGTCTCAATTTGTTTTTAATAAAACTGCAAAACAGTCATCAGATTTACAGTACAACCTTAATTATTGAGACAGTACATGGATTGCATTAAAAAACCCAACATTTTAGAGCAAGCCTCCAAAACTTTTGTGCAGCCATATGCAAAACTGCTCATTTCAGACTTACTAACAGAACGACAGCTAGCGGAGACGTGATTATAAAAATAACATATTCCCCTTTACTGTAGCCTGACCTTTTACTCCCTTTCTACACATCAGATCCGATTTCCTTTGCATCAGAAGTATGATCCATTATCTGAAAAGATGTTTCAAACATGTAGTGGCGTACAATAAAGACAGGCAGCATTATTATGACAAGCACGAGTCAAGGTTTAATTCTAAATGTCCAATTGTACGAGTCGAGGGACAAATACTGAATCAATTAAAAATTAATTGAACATTTTAGGATGACATTTTCTTGCCATATCAAGTTTCATCTGCAGAAATAATGCCATAATTCATATCAGACAAGCTCTTTATAATAAGCTGAAATGCAGGGTTGTGATAATCGTAAACGTCAAATATCCTAATCAAACATGGAAGATAAAATAATAATAATGCCAAATGAATGGTGCGCCTAAAGAATAATGCACGGTGAACCTGAAACGAGCTCGCTGCTTAGACTACTCTTCACTTAAAGCATAAACACGCATTTCATTTAATAAAGCTAATTTACCATTACAACTCGAGACATGAAAGGGGAAAGCCCTATTGCACTCTGCTCTGTCATGATTACAAATACATAACATTAAAATATTAAGAAGACAAATTGAACAAACATGAGTGTAAACCAGATCTGTTAAGACTGGCGAAATGCACAGCTGGTCCTTGAGGAATGATGGCTTGAGGGTTTTGAGAATACTTGTTGGTGTGTGTGTGTGCGCACGTTGAGCCGGGGGACATCAAACCCCCAGTCTGTTGGCCTGTGTCAGCACCACCTTCAGGACCGGCATGAAGGCCGACGTCTCGCTGAAGTTGCTGTTGCTCACAATGTGTGTGTGGATGTTGAGGCCGTCGGTGTAGCAGCGGCACTCGATGCTGCGGGCCATATTGTGAAGACCCCCGACGATAGCTGGAGACAGCTGGAGAGAAGAAACCGCAGAAAAGTGTGTGGCTCAGACAACAAAGAACCACTGTGCACATTACAATATGTGGAGCAACGGCGGTAAAAAAACAAAAAAAGACTGAGGCTTTAAATAAAACTGTGTTACTCACTGTTTGTTCTCTCAGCTTGTCATAGAGATAGTCAAGCCTCTTATGAGCATCATCTAACTTCCTCTTGGTTTGCTGTGAGGATGAACGGGAAAAACTTGGTTATTTATAATAATGCTGGGGAATTTGAAAACGGACAGACAGAAGTTGCAAAAGAATAGGCAAACAAACATTATTATTATTATTGTTGATAACCTCCTAAGCTGTTTTTCTCAGCCCTCTGGTGCTCTTCGTGTGTCGCTCAAACATGACCGATTTTTCTTTTTGTCAATGAAATGAATGTACTATATTTTAGTTTGATAGTGTTTTGTGTTTCATATTTTGTATTTTTAGGGGATTTTTTAATACTAAAAAAATACATTCACTTTTTGAGCATAGACCTGAAAATTACATTTTTAACTTAAACTGATAAATCTTGAATGCTTTAAAGCACAGACTGAAGTTTGATCTCTTTTCAAAGACGACACTTGGCAGATTATTGCTGAAGAGACAAAAGTTTAAAAAAGTGAACTTAAAAAAAGTAACAGAATTTTACGTGTATTATGAAAAATGCACAAAAAGACTATTTTCAATTTTGTATGAAAATATATTTTTTTAAATCACGTTTTACTCTAAAACTGCAAGTAAATCAAAGCTATAATTGTGTTCCAAATTTGAGGTTGATATCTCAAAAAATGAGCTTTCAGTAAGATTTAGTTTGGCTGCAGTACCAAAAGTTTCCACTAGATGAAATTTGTTCCCATTCATTTCCAATGCGCTCATTTTTGACCGTGAGGAGCACAAGTGTGACTATTTTTTACATGACCATTTAACCTTTTCGAATCATGCCCATGATTTGTTTGTGTGTTCACATAGTTTCGCACCATTCCAATGAAGTAAAAAATTTAAAATGAAAACAAAACGTACAATTTTTCAGGCAAAAATGACCGAAGAGCACCCGAGGGTAAAAGGAGTTGACAATGTTGATATGTTTGGTCTTGGTGGAATAGATCTGTTTCGCTGCTTATTTATATATATATATATATAAATAAAGAAATCTATAGAAATATAAACGAAAACAACAGAAAAAAAAAAAAAGGAATTTGGGAAAAGATAAAACGGATTTCATAGGACCCTAAATCATGAAATATGAGTTTGCTTTGGGGTACTTCATTTTAGACTCACACTCAGGACCTTCGGGTCAAAAATGACCCGGAGGGCGGCATTAAGATACATTTTATTTGAGTAAAATCAATGAAATATATTTTTGTTCAATAATATTTTTTCTTTTCTTTTTTGGTGTTTTGAGATAATTTTATGATTTATAATTAATATTTATGCAATAATTAAGACCCATTTTTTCCCATTGAATATAATAGAAAATTTATATATATATATATATATATATAATTAAAAAAAAATTTTTATTAAAAGCTGTATTTCATTTTAGAGTCAAGTCTAGGCCTCATGAAAGCAATTTTTGAAATGAGATCGGAGCCATCTGGTGGACACACTGAGCATTTTTATCACGCAATAGCACATTTTTACCACTAGTGGATCTACAGCTCTCTGTAGAAACCTATTAGCCTGGATGCCAGCCCGAACCCCGCCCACAACATATTTTGATCGGGAAGTTCGGTCTGGACTCGCTCCATTGAGGAGTAATTATGATCGGTTCAGAAATCGTCGGGCCAATCAAATTGTCAGGGCGGGCTTTATACGATGATGGACAGATGATCTGCAGTTACGTAATCATCACGTTATCAAAGAGCGCTTGGGTTGAACTGGTTTCCCTCACAGATGACTGCCGCTGGAGAACTGAGATGTAGAGATTCCGCTATCGCGTCCGTTATAAAAGAAATCGACAGCGCATTCATTTTAAAAGACGAACATAGAACTGCAATCAAGGCATTTGTCGATCGGAAAGATGTGTTTGCCGTCCTTCCTATGGGATTCGGCAAAAGTTTAATTTATCAGCTGGCTCCGATGGTAACTAAGAAGATGGGACGCAATGAAAACCCTGTGGTCGTTGTGGTTTCTCCTTTGGTCGCACTCATAGAGGGCCAAGTAAAAGAAGCAACACTCGTTATTTTACTTCTTCCAGCGTGCGTGCATTTGAGTTCTGTAGTTGACAACTGTGCTATGCAAAGTAGTTGACTTACTGCGTTGCTCTCATTGGTTGTAGGTCTATCCAATTGAGTGCAGAGTTTTTTTTTTTCCTGGTTCGGTTAAGACACGCCTCATAATCAAAGCCCTATGAAGCAGTATCAGACTCACATTTTGACTAGAATATGAGTATGACGAAGTCAGGCTAGAAACCTATGGTAGAAACACTAGTGATTTTTTCACATATTGTTTAATTTTTTTCAGGTTGTTGATTTGAATATATAATAACAGATTCTCAAAGACTATTTTTTGTCATTTAAAAAAAAAAAAAAAAAATGTTGGTTGGTTTAAATGGTTATTTGAAGTGGCAGTTTTACTTTATAATACAGTCAAACCTGAACATTGCATTATAAAGAGAACAAATGGAAAACATTTTGTCACCCATTGTTTTAAGAGATTCACCCCTTCACTGTTGTGTGCTTTTTTTCTGCATCGTGGCTGTTTGGTAGATTGTATGCACAAAAAAACTCTGTATTTTCACATTTTTGCCAATTTCCCATTCATTTCCTATGGGGGTCATTTTTGACCCGAAGACCCTGAGTGTGACTATTTTTTTTACGACCACTTAGACTTTTCAAATCCTGTCCCCAATTTTTTTGGGTGTTCATATACCAAGTACCAAAAAAGTCACCAAGTCTCGGACTATTCCGATGAAGCTACAATTTTTAACATTTTTTTTAAAAACGCTTCGGGACAAAAACCCCAGAGGGTTAATTAGTGTCATTTGACAGTAAACAAACCGGGTCTGAAGCAGCAGCCAAGCATTTCTGGATCAGTCCCTCAAACGTGGCCTTCAGGACCATGTGTTCCTCAGGGATCGGCTTCTTGGTGATCTTCTCAGTGGGTATGGACTGATGTGGACGAGAGAGAACACAGAATAACGTATAACATGGGGAAGACACAAAGCGTATGATCACTTACTTAACTTGAAATGAACTAATACCTTTATTACATCTCCAATTGGAGCTCCAGGCGGCCCTTCCATGTTAACCTGAGGCATGTTGGGATTCCTGCTTGGGGGTCCCAGCGGCTGCTGGTGGATGGGGGTGAAGGTTGTTGGGCCCACGTGCTGATCTGGGGCCTGTTGTTGCGGTGGAAGGGTCTGCATGCCTGGGACAGCGGGGGCCTGAGGTTCCCCTACAGGGCCCATGATGGGAGTGGTGATGGGGGCTGGTGGAGTGAAGTGGTCTGGGATCTGGAGACCAAAAACAGAGCATGTTTTCTTCAAATCAAGGCAAATCCATGTAGATTACGAGCATGAGGACCTTCAGTCGAACCCACCTTCTTCTTTTTGGCAGCTCTGTTGAGAGTGGGGGGGTCGTTCCAGCCGTTCTGAGGTCCTAGAGCAGAACAACAGATTTCAAAACCTTCCAACCTGCTGTACCTCTGAGAGGACCTCAAATTCATTCTCGAGATGTACAGCATAGACCGGTTATGGTTTATCACAACACACTGATCGCAAGCAGGTTCTTAATCACAGCTACTGTAGGACTAGTTAGGGATTTCTTTTCTGCATGCATCAATGAACACAAGAAAACAATCAATGTCTTGGAAACCAATGTAAAAGGATAAGCTAAAGCCAGTGAGGTTCTGGAAGTTTCCACTGGCCCACATTACTTACCATGCAAACGCAGAGCAAAACCATTGCTCATTTTCAATCATAATCAATACATATATAAATGCTTCAAAATTAGTGATTAATACATTTTAGAATCACTTCAGAAAAACAAAATCATCAATGTGTAAAAAAAAAAAAAAAAAAAAAAAAAAAAATCTGTGCCTCACTGATTGTTAGAATCATTCATTAATAATTTGAGCTGGACAATTATGGTCCACCATATTAAACTGTTAAAAATCTCTTTATAATTCACCTTCCAAAGACCAGGCGTCTTGGTTTAATCCTCCTGTAAATAAACAAGGTAGCTGACGCATAACTTGTCCAAGAACTTATTTTTAATCAACATGAAGATATTAGTTTAACATTTAAGTGAATAAACATGTAATAAACAGAAACTGACCACTGGTAATCATTTTTAACTGTGTAACTGTTTGCACTTTTAATCACCGATCTGTCTTATCAAAAATAGCCCTGCACTACAAACATCCATGTAGTCTTAATCAATATGAGGTCATAAAAGCTTGAATTAACAAAATACTAAAAATAGTTTTAAATGGAGCATGTCACAGCACCACCGGACAGTTTTTAATGCATTCTGAAGCAGTATTTTGATCATAAACACCAAATGCTTCTTTGAAATTGAGAAGAAATATATATATATATTAGGGGTGTGATGAGACACATCTCACGAGACACGAGATTGGGTTCACGAGAACGAGACGAGATTTTTGCACAATATTTTATAGAAATCCTCAATGACAAAATTCATGACTGCAAAAGTAGTCTGAAGGTGCATTTTGAAATGTTTTAATTAATAATCTTGCAATGAATGTAATTTCAGTTCTACTTTATGGGCATGAATTATCAAATGCATTGAAAGACAACAATATACAAGCACTATACAAGGTTTTGCCACAAACTCAACTGACTGGCTTTTCTCCTGTATGATTTCACACGAGTCTCTTCAGACCTTATACTGTCCATGTATTATGAGTTTCCAGAACTTCTGATTGAGGCTGTGTGTGACCTCATGACTAAACTCCTTTCCACAAATTGAACATAGAAATAAAAACAGTATAAATAACAGTTTTTTAACAGTCTTAAAAGTGCAAACAATAAGTGCAAGTGCATCCATAATCAAAGTACTCTCTCAATATTCAAAGTGCGAACAGAGACCAGAGCCACAACTACACTGTCCAGGGATAGGTTTGATAGTGGGAGACAGGCTATTGTATGTATGCAGCCTAATTTATGCGCATCAGGGAGCTAGTGTTTTACTTTCACCTTCAAATTCATGATGGCACGTACTCTGTTATAGGGAGCGCGTTCTACAAGATGCGACATTGATCAGACGTTGAGGCTCTGTTGCGCAGCGAATCCTCCGCCATCGTCACGCGGTCAGTGAGCCGTGATTCCTGCTGGCCTGTGTGCGACTGCAGCTCGTGCTGGATGAGCAGAGCACACGTTTACAATAGCTTACTATGGTTTTTGATTTTTATAAAACCAGCAAAATGACAGTGGAGGCATGTAATGTGAATATTCTATGGTGGCATATTCTATGCTAATTTCACCCTCACTCTCCATCATCATAGCGATATTGCCAGAAATCTCGTCACATTTTAGTCTCGCGAGATCTCGTCACACCCCTAAAATATATATATATATGCTAAATGGCTAAAAAATGTGTGTGTGTGGTAATACTGAGATTGATCGAGCATGTCTGGTATGTTTCAGAGCTGGTGTGCAGACCTGTTCTCTGGGAGGCTGGAATCAGTGCGGGTTCGTTCTGAGTACCTGGAGCTCTGGCTACTGGAGGAGGAAGATAAGCTGAGGGCGACCCCGGCCCGCCATGCTGGAAACACACGCCAGAAGACAGAGCAGGAGGAGAGAAAGACCCAGACACCAGAGGAGGAGCTGCTGGCTGAGAGGAGGCAGGGTGCATGAAGTGCGGAGGATAGACAGCAGAGGAGGAGGAGGAGGAAGGAGGAGGAGGTGGAAGAGGAGAGGCCGTGGAGGAAGAGTACGGCACAGGCTGATAGATGCCGGGTGTGAACTGCTGAACAGGGGGGTAGTCTGATGTTCGTGAGGAAGAGGAGAGAACAGGCATATGCAGTTAGTCATTTATAGAGATATTTCACATTACAGATGCAGTTACACGCGTGCAAATATTAATTCAGTACATCTGTGAAATGATCTTTATCCATTAACATATGAATACATAAGCATAAGGTTCATGCAAAGAATTTACAGCATTCTTACAAAAAATAAAAACATGCACTGCTTAAGTTTAACCTCTGCTGTTCAAGTTAGAACTCCAAAAATATCAAGATTGGAGCGTCGCTCGCTGATCTAGCTCGAAGTGCTTCAGCAGATTTACATGCATTTCCAAGGGTGTTCCAGACAGATGCTCACTGACCAAGACAAAACGATCCACCCCAAACCAGGGGTTATTTTTCACAACAACTATTCAAAATTTCCAGTAATTGATCATTTTCATAATTTATTAAAGCTTTTACGTGTTGCTGACAAGTGTCTAAATGAGACTACAGAAGTTCTTGGGGAGATTAAACACTTTCACAGCCTCGTTGTGTTTATAATCACGCTCTTGCAAACTTGTATAACTCAAACTCTCAGGGAAAAAACACTGAAAGAGTCGGAAGCTTAATGGTGTGACGTTGAATTAACGTGACTGTGCCGTAGTTCGTTTATAGCCTAACTTCAACTTCTGCCGATTGTATTTAGACATCAAAATTCATAAAACTTGTTCATTTGTGAAACACACACAGTGTCAGTGCACTTACTCTGGTACTGCTGCGAGTACATGAATGGAGTGGAGGCGGGTACTGACGCCATCACTGGAGACTGAAGCCCGAAGACTGGAGATGTGGACTCGGCCTGAGAACAGAGAGAAAGACACACACACCTGTGTTTAGAGAGCCTTCTGTCACAGCGTGATCCAGTGATCCAGGCTGACACCAACACTAGATGTGCAAATCTACATATTCTTTTTCCTATTTAAATGTTGTTATTATACTACTCTGACACTCAAAAGTTTGGGGTCATCAAGATTTTTTGGTAACACTTTATAATAATTTCCCATTAGTAAGTTCATTAACTAACAATGAGCAATACATTTGTTACAGTATTTATAAATCTTTGGTAACATTTAAAGGGTTAGTTCACCCAAAAATGAAAATGATGTCATTAATGACTCTCCCTCATGTCGTCCCAAACCCGTAAGACCTTCGTTTATCTTCGGAACACAGTTTAAGATATTTTAGATTTAGTCCGAGAGCTTTCTGTCCCTCCATTGAAAATGTATGTACGGTATACTGTCCTTGTCCAGAAAGGAAATAAAGACATCATCAAAGTAGTCCATGTGACATCAGTGGGTTAGTTAGAGTGTTTTGAAGCATCGAAAATGCATTTTGGTCCAAAAATAACAAAAACTAGGACTTTATTCAGCATTGTATTGTCTTGCGGTTCTGTTGTGGATCCACGTTCAGTGCCGCTGCTGACGTAAGACGCTGCTGACGTGTGTCTGGTGTGTGTGTGTGTGTGTGTGTGTGTGTGTGTGTTCCAGTTCTGTTGTGGATCCGCGTTCAGTGACGCCGCTGACGTAAGACGCTGCTGACGTGTGTCTGGTGTGTGTGTGTGTGTGTGTGTTCTGGTTCTGTTGTGGATCCACGTTCAGTGCCGCTGCTGACGTAAGACGCTGCTGACGTGTGTCTGGTGTGTGTGTGTGTGTGTGTGTGTGTGTGTGTGTGTGTGTGTGTGTTCCAGTTCTGTTGTGGATCCGCGTTCAGTGACGCCGCTGACGTAAGACGCTGCTGACGTGTGTCTGGTGCGTCCATGTATTCGGGTTCAAATAAATATGGCTGGGCAAAAAAATGCAAGTCTTCCTCCGTGTGGAAATCCTTAGACATGTTTGCGAAGATTGTTTTGTTTCCAGCGTGCGTCTCCCTCAGACTGTAAACGAAGCTCGGGCGCACCAGACACACGTCAGCAGCATCTTACGTCAGCGGCGTCTCTGAATGCGGATCCACAACAGAACCGGAAGACAATACAATGCTGAATAAAGTCTGAGTTTTTGTTATTTTTGGACCAAAATGTATTTTCGATGCTTCAAAACACTCTAACTAACCCACTGATGTCACATGGACTACTTTGATGATGTCTTTATTTCCTTTCTGGACAAGGACAGTATACCGTACATACATTTACAATGGAGGGACAGAAAGCTCTCGGACTAAATCTAAAATATCTTAAACTGTGTTCTGAAGATGAACGGAGGTCTTACGGGCTTGGAGCGACATGAGTCATTAATGACATCATTTTCATTTTTGGGTGAACTAACCCTTTAATAAAAAACGCTGTCATGTTCAAGAAACCAGTTTGAGAAGATTTGAGCTTTGTGACATGGCACGTAATCCTGCTGGAAGAGGCCATCAGAAGATGGTCCACTGTGGTCATAAAGGGATGGACACGGTCAGCAACAATACTCAGGACGGCTGTGGTGTTTAAATGATGCTCGATTGGTGCTAAAGGGCCCAAAGTGTGCCGAGAAAACATCCCACACACCATTACAGCACCAGCAGCCTGAGCCGTTGATACAAGGCAGGATGGATCCATGTGGTTTACACCAATTTCTGACCCTACCATTTAAAATTCGGACCAGAAATAGAGACTCATCAGACCAGGCAACATTTTTCCAATCTTCTATTGTCGAGTTTTGGTGAGCCAAGGTGAATTGTAGCCTCAGTTTCCTGTTCTCAGCTGACAGCAATGGCACCAGTGTGTGTTTTCTGTTGCTGTAGCCCGTCTGCTTCAAGGTTGGCTGTGTTGAGCGTTCAGAGATGCTCTTCTGCTTCAAGGTTGCTCGTGTTGAGCATTCAGAGATGCTCTTCTACCTCAAGCTTGGACGTGTTGAGTGTTCAGAGATGCTCTTCTGCTTCAAGGTTGGACGTGTTGAGTGTTCAGAGATGCTCTTCTGCCTCAAGCTTGGACGTGTTGAGTGTTCAGAGATGCTCTTCTGCTTCAAGGTTGGACGTGTTGAGCGTTCAGAGATGCTCTTCTGCTTCAAGCTTGGACGTGTTGAGTGTTCAGAGATGCTCTTCTGCTTCAAGGTTGGACGTGTTGAGCGTTCAGAGATGCTCTTCTACCTCAAGGTTGGACGTGTTGAGCGTTAAGAGATGCTCTTCTGCCTCAAGCTTGGACGTGTTGAGTGTTCAGAGATGCTCTTCTGCTTCAAGGTTGGACGTGTTGAGCGTTCAGAGATGCTCTTCTGCCTCAAGGTTGGAAGTGTTGAGCGTTCAGAGATGCTCTTCTGCTTCAAGGTTGGACGTGTTGAGTGTTCAGAGATGCTCTTCCGCTTCAAGGTTGGAAGTGTTGAGCGTTCAGAGATGCTCTTCTGCCTCAAGGTTGGTAGTGTTGAGCGTTCAGAGATGCTCTTCTGCCTCAAGGTTGGACGTGTTGAGCGTTCAGAGATGCTCTTCTACCTCAAGGTTGGAAGTGTTGAGCGTTCAGAGATGCTCTTCTGCCTCAAGGTTGGTAGTGTTGAGCGTTCAGAGATGCTCTTCTGCTTCAAGGTTGAACGTGTTTAGCGTTCAGAGATGCTCTTCTACCTCAAGGTTGGAAGTGTTGAGCGTTCAGAGATGCTCTTCTGCGTCAAGGTTGGAAGTGTTGAGCATTCAGAGATGCTCTTCTACCTCAAGATTGGACGTGTTGAGCGTTCAGAGATGCTCTTCTGCGTCAAGGTTGGAAGTGTTGAGCGTTCAGAGATGCTCTTCTGCGTCAAGGTTGGAAGTGTTGAGCGTTCAGAGATGCTCTTCTGCCTCAAGGTTGGACGTGTTGAGCGTTCAGAGATGCTCTTCTGCCTCAAGGTTGGACGTGTTGAGCGTTCAGAGATGCTCTTCTGCTTCAAGGTTGAACGTGTTTAGCGTTCAGAGATGCTCTTCTACCTCAAGGTTGGAAGTGTTGAGCGTTCAGAGATGCTCTTCTGCGTCAAGGTTGGAAGTGTTGAGCATTCAGAGATGCTCTTCTACCTCAAGATTGGACGTGTTGAGCGTTCAGAGATGCTCTTCTGCCTCAAGGTTGGACGTGTTGAGCGTTCAGAGATGCTCTTCTGCTTCAAGGTTGGACGTGTTGAGCATTCAGAGATGCTCTTCTGCCTCAAGGTTGAACGTGTTGAGAGTTCAGAGATGCTCTTCTGCCTCAAGGTTGGACGTGTTGAGCGTTCAGAGATGCTCTTCTGCCTCAAGGTTGAACGTGTTGAGTGTACAGAGATGCTCTTCTGTCTCAAGGTTGGACGTGTTGAGTGTACAGAGATGCTCTTCTGCCTCAAGGTTGGCAGTGTTGAGCATTCAGAGATGCTCTTCTGCCTCAAGGTTGGACGTGTTGAGTGTTCAGAGATGCTCTTCTGCTTCAAGGTTGGACGTGTTGAGCGTTCAGAGATGCTCTTCTGCCTCACGGTTGGACGTGTTGAGTGTTCAGAGATGCTCTTCTGCTTCAAGGTTGGACGTGTTGAGCGTTCAGAGATGCTCTTCTGCCTCACGGTTGTAACGGCTTTTTGAGCAGTTACACTGGTCTTGAGCAGTAGTACTACTACTATGCTCTAGGGGGCTCTCCAGACTTCTCTTCCTTTAGATAAAAAAACAGGAGAAGTAGAGTTGGGTATGTTTGGTTAGAGAGAAGCATGGCCTCTTTCTGCTAACCTTATGTGTAGAGTCCGGGTTGAGAAACTATGGTTTTAAGCTCATCCAAGTAAGTGTTGTTCATTTTGTATTGTAATTTTTGGTTTTGCTGGTTCGTCATCTCATCTAATATATGTGGTATTAATGTTAGCCTGTATGTTGTTGTTTAGAAGGACTTCTTGGATATACCGCGTCCACAGAGTTATCGTTCTTATGCTACGGGATTGAGACATCTTCCCTTCCATGCTGTACGGGGTCTAATGGGGATACTATTTGATCATGCCAATATCATCATTTGATATATTGGATCAGCGCAGATCTGAGATGTTTGAGTGCTGCAAGGACATCATTATTGCAACGTACCCTAAGCCAATACATGGATTTAATGAAGCGTAGAGCTTGAATTGAACTGCTGGACTTTTGCTCTTTTCTTGTTGGACCATCCCCACTCCTGGTATCACACCAGACAACACGTGTATATCTTCAAATGTTGACTCACTAGTTGTATATTGTGGTGTGACTTATCTGATATAAATATGGTTTGCATTTACCTCTGTGTTTGGACTTGGTTTGAGAGTTTCTGAATCTGGTTAAAATTAATTTTAGTCAATGAAGTCCTCCCTTATAAATTTATTTGTGATTCAACCTTCTGAGAGTTCTCAGTTGGACGGTTACAAGGTTGGTAGTGTTGAGCGTTCAGAGATGCTCTTCTGCCTCAAGGTTCGTAGTGTCGAGCATTCAGAGATGCTCTTCTGCTTCAAGGTTGGACGTGTTGAGCATTCAGAGATGCTCTTCTGCCTCAAGGTTGGACGTGTTGAGCATTCAGAGATGCTCTTCTGCCTCAAGGTTGGACGTGTTGAGCGTTCAGAGATGCTCTTCTGCTTCAAGGTTGGACGTGTTGAGCGTTCAGAGATACTCTTCTGCCTCAAGGTTGGTAGTGTTGAGCTTTCAGAGATGCTCTTCTGCTTCAAGGTTGGACGTGTTGAGCATTCAGAGATGCTCTTCTGCCTCAAGGTTGGTAGTGTTGAGCGTTCAGAGATGCTCTTCTGCTTCAAGGTTGGACGTGTTGAGCATTCAGAGATGCTCTTCTGCCTCAAGGTTGGTAGTGTTGAGCTTTCAGAGATGCTCTTCTGCTTCAAGGTTGGACGTGTTGAGCATTCAGAGATGCTCTTCTCGTTCAAGGTTGGACGTGTTGAGCGTTCAGAGATGCTCTTCTGCTTCATGGTTGGACGTGTTGAGCATTCAGAGATGCTCTTCTGCCTCAAGGTTGGACGTGTTGAGCGTTCAGAGATGCTCTTCTGCCTCAAGGTTGGTAATGTTGAGCGTTCAGAGATGCTCTTCTGCCTCAAGGTTGGTAGTGTTGAGCTTTCAGAGATGCTCTTCTGCCTCAAGGTTGGACGTGTTGAGCGTTCAGAGATGCTCTTCTGCCTCAAGGTTGGTAGTGTTGAGCGTTCAGAGATGCTCTTCTGCCTCAAGGTTGGACGTGTTGAGCGTTCAGAGATGCTCTTCTGCCTCAAGGTTGGACGTGTTGAGCGTTCAGAGATGCTCTTCTGCTTCAAGGTTGGTAGTGTTGAGCGTTCAGAGATGCTCTACTGCCTCAAGGTTGGCAGTGTTGAGCGTTCAGAGATGCTCTTCTACCTCAAGGTTGGACGTGTTGAGCGTTCAGAGATGCTCTTCTGCCTCAAGGTTGGACGTGTTGAGCGTTCAGAGATGCTCTTCTGCTTCAAGGTTGGACGTGTTGAGCATTCAGAGATGCTCTTCTGCTTCAAGGTTGGACGTGTTGAGCGTTCAGAGATGCTCTTCTGCCTCAAGGTTGGTAGTGTTGAGCGTTCAGAGATGCTCTTCTGCCTCAAGGTTGGACGTGTTGAGCATTCAGAGATGCTCTTCTGCCTCAAGGTTGGTAGTGTTGAGCGTTCAGAGATGCTCTTCTGCCTCAAGGTTGGTAATGTTGAGCGTTCAGAGATGCTCTTCTGCCTCAAGGTTGTAGTGTTGAGCGTTCAGAGATGCTCTTCTACCTCAAGGTTGGTAGTGTTGAGCGTTCAGAGATGCTCTTCTGCCTCAAGGTTGGTAGTGTTGAGCGTTCAGAGATGCTCTTCTGCCTCAAGGTTGGTAGTGTTGAGCGTTCAGAGATGCTCTTCTACCTCAAGGTTGGTAGTGTTGAGCGTTCAGAGATGCTCTTCTGCCTCAAGGTTGGTAGTGTTGAGCGTTCAGAGATGCTCTTCTACCTCAAGGTTGGTAGTGTTGAGTGTTCAGAGATGCTCTTCTGCCTCAAGGTTGGTAATGTTGAGCTTTCAGAGATAATCTTCTGCCTCAATCTGGTTTGTTAAATAGTTTGCTAGGTCTACTTAGGTAAATGGAAACCCTATTTAAAGAGGTTGTTTAACATTACTAAGCAAGTCACAGTTGTCATGCAATATGGGGAGGAAAAAAATCTTTCTGAAGATGAAAAGCATTAAATGGTGCAATCTTATGCAAAAGGCAACTAACAACTAATATCGTGTGAAAACTGAATTGAGATACTATCATAAGATTTGTGAGTAATTTACAGCACAAGAGAACTCGGTCGGGCTTATTAAGGAATGTTTCTGTAAAAAAAAATTGTAATTGTATTAAAAGGGCAGCTTTAAAAAAGACACTGAGAAGCAAACAGGTAGGGGTGTGACGGTTATTATATAACCGTGAGACCGACGGTTATAGTTGAACAACGTCATTAGAACTCTATAACCGCCAAAACCGTGCTATTAAAATATTTTTTACAAACATTTTTTATCATAGAGAATGTTTAAATACTAATATCAGCTTAAGAGGGAAACGAAGGCTGCTACTGCTGGAGATGATTCGGGAGAGGTCTGTCTGTACTTTACCGATCAGAGCGCGCGCTGACACGGAGTAAAGCCTTGTTTAAACTCGACGCGTCCGCACGAGCGCGAAGGTGAGCGCGGCAAAAATGACGCGTTCGGTGCGCAAGACCGGCAAGACCCCATTTGGCTTGGCTGTGTGCACGGCTTTTTTTGTAACAGCGCGCGCGGCGCCGCGTCCGAGGATGACCGACTTCAAGCCGAATCTGCCCGAGCATGCACGTCTCACCGCACCGGCACGCAGTTTGCGCGTCCAAATTGCAAAGTTCATTCCAAAGTTTTTTCGTTAAGGTTTTGTTTACTGTGTGTGATTTATTTAAACCAAAGCACGTTTATTGCAACGTTTGTTTGTTTGTTTTGTTTGTTAAGGATTTGTTTACTGTGTGATACATTTAATGGAAATGTATCAAAACCACGACGACGGTTATGTTACGAACCGTCACATTTGACTCACGTCATAACCGTCATCACCAATTCTGAAACCGGCACACCCCTACAAACAGGTATTTGAGGCTGCTGGTGTCTCTGGACTCTCAAGAACCTCTCCATGCAGGCTGGCAGTTGTGCGTAAAGTTGCATTTCAGAGAGAGACACACAAGTTTGAAAGTATGAAACTTGTTTGTGAGGTTAGAAAACAAACGGTAAAAAAACGGTAAAATTCTCCTATAAATAGGAATCTCTTCTGGCCACTGGAATAAACTAAAAAAAAGTACATTACAGTTTATACCCAAATGCAGTTCACATGGAGCAAACTCCACTAGAGATGGACCAATAAAGAAAACATCATAAAAGGAGCGGTGTGGAGATTGAGCATTGCTCCTGCGGTGTGTTGAGCCTGTGTCTGTGAGTGTGAGCTCTGTCGGTGTGTACCGGCGGGTCAGCGGCGGGCACAGCCTGGCGAGGGACACTGGGCAGAGCTGTGGGGGTTTGGTTACTCCAGGACGTGACAGTAGTGGCGGATCTACCCTGAACACAACACAAACACACGCTGGAGTCAAATAAAGCACCTGCGTGTGCGTTTCCCAGCTGTATGTGAGTGTCTCTCGTACCTGTTGGTAGTACTGAGGCGCCGCAGCGGGCTGTGGAGGTTGTGTGTGTGTCTGCGTTTGGTGTGTGTTCTGCGTGCCGGTCACTGTGGCCACAGGCGTCTGCTGTCCCAGAGCTCTGCTCAAACGATATCGCAGCTGCTGAACAGAAACCTGCAGGCACAAAACAACCATCACATTCACAAAGCTGACATTAAACCTTATGGACACTATCTAAAACTGAGCCCCAAATACAGGAGACCCCAGTGTTAGAGGGGGTCAATTCCACTCTATTCAACACAGTTTCAATCATGGTCTTTAAAATCAACAATTAATTATCAGTTAAAGGGATAGTTCACCCAAAAATGAACATTAGTCCATGATTTACCCACCCTCAAGCCCTCCTAGGTGAATATGACTTTCTACTTTCAGACGAATACAATCGGAGTTATATTAAAAAAATGTCCTGGCTCTGGGGGGTTAATAAAGGCGAGCGAAATGAAGGGAAGCGATGCGTTTGTGTAAGAAAAAAAAAAACATATTTAAAACTTTATCGACTAAAATAACTAGCTTCCGGCAGACGGCTGTACGCATCGATTTACGGTGGAAGAGTAACCCCTGACCCGACGCACGACATAATGACAAACGCGGAAGCACAGAGAATAGAGCAAAACAAAACACGAATTAGAAAAAAATCAAACAATTCTATCTTCTTGCCAAACAGCCATTCGCAGTCTACTTGTGCCTAATGTGCAACTTGTGACGTCAGAAGTAGCATAGTGCGTCATAGCGTAGCGTAAATATCAGCAGTTCGTCGCATTACTCGCATAAGTTGCACTTTACAAGTCGAATTTTAAGTGGAATCCGTATGCATGTTTGGCCGGAAGCTAGTTATTTTACTTTATAAAGTTTTAAATATGAACATTTTTCTTACGCGAACACATCGATTCACTTCAGAAGGCCTTTATTAACCCACGCAGAGCCGTGTGGAGCACTTTTATCATGGATAGATGCACTTTTATCATGGATAGATGCACTTTTATCATGGATAGATGCACTTTTATCATGGATAGATGCACTTTTATCATGGATAGATGCACTTTTATCATGGATAGATGCACTTTTATCATGGATAGATGCACTTTTATCATGGATAGATGCACTTTTATCATGGATAGATGCAATTTAATCATGGATAGATGCAATTTAATCATGGATAGATGCAATTTAATCATGGATAGATGCACTTTTATCATGGATAGATGCACTTTTATCATGGATAGATGCACTTTTATCATGGATAGATGCACTTTAATCATGGATAGATGCACTTTAATCATGGATAGATGCACTTTTATCATGGATAGATGCACTTTTATCATGGATAGATGCACTTTTATCATGGATAGATGCACTTTAATCATGGATAGATGCACTTTAATCATGGATAGATGCACTTTTATCATGGATAGATGCACTTTTATCATGGATAGATGCACTTTTATCATGGATAGATGCACTTTTATCATGGATGGATGCACTGATAGATGCACTTTTATGGACTTCAAAACAGAAACGGCCATTCACTGGGATTATAAGGCTTGGAAGAGCCAGGACATTTTTTTATATAACTCCGCTTGTATATTCGTCTGAAAGAAGAATGTCATATACACCTAGGATGACTTGAGGGTGAGTAAATCATGGGCTAATTTTCATTTTTGGGTGAACTATCCCTTTAAGGAACATTTCCCACATAATAAATGCTTGCCTGCTCAGTGTTGGTGGGCAGGTAGGATATGGCCGTCTGTAAGCTGCCCTGAGATGCCAGCAGACTGGCATATTGATTCATCTTCTCTGCCAGCAGCGCACCCATATCAGGAGAAACCCCGGCCTGAGTCTTCACCACTGCTCTCTGCAGGACCACCACCTTCTCCACCAGCTCCTACAGATACAGGTGATCACCATACAGCAACATCAGTCCACTGAACCATACTCCAATGCTCATGCTGTGCTCAGGTCACAAGATTCACTATCAAGCCCAATAAAAACATGATGGATTAAAGGTGCAGTGTGTGATTATTAGCGGCATCTAGTGGTGAGGCCACTGTTACGGTGGCCGACAGGAAAAGATCGTTGTCTGAGACGGCAGAGAGTAGCCAGTTAAGCAATGAGTTTTTTTTATAAAGATACATGAAGAAATTAGGTTTACTTAATCATTCAGTAAAACGATATGTTATTGCGAATATTATTGTTAATTGTCAGTGTTTTATTCGCTGAATTTAGCTAGTTTCTTTGCACGAAGAACAACAGTGACGAAACGCGTTTGTCCATTTAGGGCCACTGTAGAAACATGGTGGCGCAAAATGGCTATTTCAATGTAGGGCTCATCATGTAAGGTTTTATACACCACTGAAAACATAGCTATTGCATTTCTATCAACAGATCCTCCTATATATTACACATGCACCTTTAAAGTCCTGTGTGAGTGTGTTCCTGCGGTCGGGTCTCACCTGCAGTGACAGTGGGCCGCTGGAGTCCTGTGCTTTGGCCCAGTGGGCGACGAGCTGCTCGACCGCGCCGGCGCAGATGTAGCAGAGACCGGCCTGATCCTGCAGCGTCGAGTCCTCAGACGCCTCCAGCCTGGAGCCCAGCAGACCTGCAGGAGCAACACACTCACATTCAGGCTAACATTAAACACACACGAACAGCCATGACTATAGGTGAATGGAGAAACCAAAACTAAGTCATATTAGCATTTTATAAAACATACAATACAGTATTTTATATATTTATGCAATATAATCACTATGAATATATTAAAAATATTCAATATGTGACCCTGGACAACAAAACAAGTCACAAGGGTCAATTTGTTGAAAATGAAAGCTGAAAAAATAAGATTTCCATTCATGTGTGGTTTGTTAGGATAGAATAATTTTTGGTCGAGATGCAAATATTTGAAAATCTGGAATCTGAGGGTGCAAAAAAGTCTAAATATTGAGAAAATCTCCTTTAAAGTTGTCAATTTCTGTTCGTGATTGTGCTGCATTCACTCACACAAATACATTTTTGGTATATTTACGGTAGGAAATTTACAAAATATCTTAATGGAACATGATCTATACTTAATACCCTAATGATTTTTGGCACAAAAGAAAAATTTATAATTTTGACCCATGCAATGTATTGTTGGCTATTGCCACAAATATACCCGTGCGACTTATGACTGATTTTGTGATCCAGGGTCACATATGATCATCCAGTCAAAATTAAAGCTGTGTGGAGCAAGTGGTGGTTTGTTGTTGCCACACTAATACACCAACATCAGGTTCTGCACTCCTATTGGTCTTTGATTTGGCGGTTGTCGTAGAAGACACACAGAAGACTGTGATGAGGCAGAGGTAAGATCTGACGGCAACGGTCATTAGTCGGCTGTCGGTAAATATCTCAAACCAGTAATCAAAGACTTCAGATTTTGACCAAGGATTCGAGGAATCTTTTAGGACTCAGACATCTAAATCGTGGCCAAAATCGTACAGTGTGAACCCGGCTTTAGTCAACAGGATAAAATATGTTATTGACCTGCTAGATAGCCATGTGGTTCTCTAACAGTAGCACCAGTTCATTATATAAACGCTTGACCTTATCAGACCAGCAATCATTATGTCTAATGCTGTCGAACTGTAAAGTTAATGTGTGAAACAATGTAAAAGACAGCAGCCTCACCACACAGAGAGGAGAACTCGTCTGGCTTGGCGTACGTCATCACCGCAGCCAAAGCCTCCTTCCAGTTCTGGAGGTCACAGGTCTGCAAAATGTCCGACCAGTCCTTCGTCACCACGGCACTAATGAGCTAAAATACATTGAGACCCAACATTAATGTGGTAAACGTGCATTTCAGTACAATAATAAACATCCAGAACACATCTGAGAGCCTGACGTGAAAGTGTAATTATTAACCCATGTTATTCCATGTTTTGAAAGTCTCAATAAATACTTTATTAATTCAATAACTATAAAAAGGAAACATCAAGGGACTGGTTCTTGGTCTGGTCCAAATAACAAAAAAATGAGAAGGATTCATAACTCCTATAACTAGTACTGAAGAACAGTAGTGGGAACTGGGTTAAAAATACAGATTTTTTTATTTATTTAAATCAATTCTCATTTTGAGCAATATCGGTTCTTGAATGCTAAGAATCAATCTTTCAGCCCATGCCGTTTTGAGTTGATGAACAAAGCATTGTAGTGTTTCAACTGCTCAAAGATGTCAATAAAACAGCTTGTAAACAATGTCACGTAATGTTATATTTACCTCAGAAAAACCATTTAATGTCCAAGGCTTGTAAGTTAGCTAAAAAATTCTAGAGCAACCTGTTCTTCAATACAAGTTTGAATAAATCCATGTTATGACAGCCAAGATTTCAATGTTTATACAGTCAGGTCCATAAATATTGGGATTGAAATGATTTAAATGAAACGAACAACTGCAGAACTTTAACTGCAGACTCACAGTTGTTTTCCGTGGTCTTCCGGGTCTTTTGGTGTTGCTGGGCTCACCGGTGCGTTCTTTCTTTTTAAGAATGTTCCAAACAGTTGATTTGGCCACACCTAATGTTTTTGCTATCTCACTGATGGGTTTGTTTTGTTTTTTCAGCCTAATGATGGCTTGCTTCACTGATAGTGACAGCTCTTTGGATCTCGAATTGAGAGTTGACAGCAACCGATTCCAAATGCAAATAGCACACTTGAAATGAACTCTGGACCTTTTATCTGCTCCTTGTAAATGGGATAATGAGGGAATAACACAACTGGCCATGGAACAGCTGAGCCGCCAATTGTCCCATTACTTTTGGTCCCTTAAAAAGTGGGAGGCACATATACAAACTGTTGTAAATTTCCTACACCATTCACCTGATTTGGATGTAAATACCCTCAAATTAAAGCTGAAAGTCTGCAGTTAAAGCACATCTTGTTCATTTCATTTCAAATCCATTGTGGTGGTGTATAGAGCCACAAAGATTAGAATTGTGTCGATGTCCCAATATTTATGGACCTTTAGATTTAGATTTTTAGATTCCTTTATTTATCATTTTCATGGTGTACATAAAAACGAAATTGTGTTTCACACATCCACCGCTCAGTAATTCAGTGCAATAGTAACTAATAAAAAAAAGCACAATTCAAATATAAATATATTAAAATACACACAAAAAAAGAATAAAATACATAAAATACATAAATAATCAATGTATTGACCTGACTGTATATATATTTTTTTTAAATGAGAAGAAACATAATTATGTCATTAAAAATGTATTATTATAATGCACGAAAATGTGTAATTTAAATGTAAGTAGTATACAAATCATTTAATTGTAACCCTTAATGCTATAGTACTGCACCAACTGGGATTCCCTGTATAGTTAAGCATTAGTTGAGAGTATTAAGTATTTTTTAATTTTTTTGAGGAAATTTGCCATGTACAGAATCTGATCGGCCCCAAATAATCACGATCGACTGCTTGTGAATCGAAATCGAATCAAAACGTGAACGTTGTGTCCGTGCCCGGCCCCAGCACCTCACCTTAGAGATCTTGCTCTGAGTTTTGGTGAAGTATTTCCTCTGAGTCTTTTCCAGAAGCTCAGGACCGCCAGCAATAGCCAGGATGATGCCGTCGGCCATTCGACTGTCATGGAGACAGAGATTAACAGCAGCTTCGTAATCCCCAGTGAGCAGGGCTTGTGTGATCAGCCCGTCGATATCTGAAACACAGCAAGCATGACAAATTCAGCAAATCATGAGAAGTAAAAACTCAACTTCCCTCAGTAGATTCGACTCCTAGTGTTATTTGATCAATCAACTATTGTTATATCAGGTAGGGTTAGAAAAAAGACACTTGCCCTGGCTAACTTTGAGGTTAATGGCCTCGGAGGTTGGAGCTGGAGTAACGTCTATGTTGGATGTTTCCTCAACAACGGGCTCTTCTTCATCTTCATCAACGGGCTTTTCATCTTCATCGTCAACAGGAATCTCGTCTAGGTCAGGCGTCTCTGTGGCAGGAGGGTCTGCTTCTTCCTCGATCTCGACAGGGCTTTTCTCTTCAACCTGGATTAGAAAAACATAGGTAACACTTTATTTTAGTGTTCAATTCTCACTATGAACTAGTTGCTTATTATCATGCATATTACTAGGATATTGTCTGTTTATTAGCACTTATAAAGCACAAATTAATGCCTTATTCTGCATGACCATATTCTACATCCCCTAATCCACCCAATACCTAAACTTAGCAACTACCTTACTAACTATTAATAAGCAGTAATTAGGAGTTTATTGAGGCAAAAGTCATAGTTAACAGTCAATGTGTTCCCGAAACAAAAGTGTTACTGAAAAACATAAGCAGTGAACAACATTAGCATGGCTTCCTCTTCCGGATTCATTTGGACCACTTGACATAAGAAATAATAAATCTAAACATTCTGAAATCAAAACTAAACAAACCTAAACAAATATGCCAAATGAACCAACAATGAAGCCAATGCCTACTTGAAAACTGAAAACAATGGCTACATAACACCAATAATCAGAGTGAGGAATTATACCACAGTCAAACCACTTTTAATCCCATTTACATGCCATTTTTGAATCATTTGTTAAAAACATGGTCGTTTTACCACGTTTACATCACTATTCACATGTATCCCAACCTACAACACAAAAAAATGTTCAATTCAAATAGGCCTGCTTGTTGCTGCTTTTGTTTGTGAAATGTTCATACCAATTTTCCATAATTTTGTCCGAGACACGGCTAAAAACGTCTCCATTCTGGTGTTACAAACCATTAACAAAATGCATGATGTCCATAGCCAAAACCATCGGTCAGAGTGGAAGAAAATAAATTAAAGCATACGTGTGCCTGCATAGTGCAAATAAACCTGCAGTGCTTCATATGTATTCTGCTTTCATGAGCTTAATCACATTGGCCCTCATTTATCATTCTTGCGTAGAAACGGGCGTATATGTTGGCGTAAGATTATGCTTACACTCCTCTCACCGCCTGATTTATGAAGCTGTGCGTACCTTTGAAATCCAGGTGTACGCAATACCTGCCCTTGATAAATCCCGCGGCTGAAAACGATCGTCATTAGAATAACACGCCCCTATATATTCAAGTCTCCGCTTCCCCCACGCCCTCATTTTACGCCATGGACACACGGAAGACGGCAAAGAAGAGAAACTTCTCTGACGTGGAGCCGAAATGACCTATCACAATGCAATATTTTACAGCACGTCTTTTGAATTAGCATTCAATTTCGAATCACGTTACATGTATTGGGGTGTACAATAGTGATGATGATGATGTGATGTGGAGTACCATTCATTCACATTAATAATTGCATGACAATTTGTAATATTCTTATTATTATTAGTATGATTTGTATTATTAATGACGCTTATTGTTATTTAGAAGAAGAATGTCATTATTATTATTTGTATTATTATTATTATTTAAAAGAAGAAGAATGTATTTTTTATTATTTTGTCAGTCTGAATTATTTTTTGGTCATGAAAGCCTTTCGTTACCGAACCCAGTCCGTGCGCACCTGCCGGGCCTAACCATGAAACGTCAGGGTAAAGCGCACAGGCTCGCAACTGAAGGAATACATATGCTTACAAATCAAATGCTTTGGTAAAGTCACACAAATTAAACATTGAAGTCCATGTTGCACAAAAATAAACACTGAAGTTTATAACTACTATGTTGTTTTTTTGTTTTACAGTGGGTCATAATATATAATATCTTTTAGTTTGTCAGTGCATTTTGTGGTGTTAGGAATTGTTTTTCTGCGCATTTCCGCTCTAACTCAAAACGTGCGTACATGTACACCACCTCCTGAGCTGGCGTAGGATTTGAGCGTGCCGTACGCCAACGTCCATATTGATAAATCTCAAAGTCACCGTGGTTTTGGGTGTACGCCAGGTGTACGCTGGAAATTTGGTGTACGCACTTTTGATAAATGAGGGCCATTATAATTATGGATATTAACATAGCCATTGATTTTAGAACGGTAAAATAACCATTTCTTGTTATAATCAAAGTTGGCTTTAAATGAAAATAAATCAATCTATTTTCTAAATGCGTGTTATTGATCTTCTTGTGAACAATTGAATTGTTCTTCTCTGCTTTTCTTTTTTTTCAATGGACCTTGTAATTCCCAATCAAAACATCATAACTGGAATGACAGATTTGTCTCTGGTGACGTATACTGGACTCCTCCAATCACTTCGTCCATTTAAACGATGCCCCTTTCTTACAATCGACTGCCAGCTTGCGTTCAGATCTGCCTCTATTCAATCAACACCCGATGCACAGAAGCAAGTCTCATTTGTTTCTTTTTTCCCATAATCCACTTCACACTCGGATGTACGTCACATTATGGAAGAAAAGATCTGCTAAAAAAAACGTTGTAAATAAGCAAATGAGCACCTAGGCAAATGGATACACAAGAAAATAACGATCTTACAATGGCCAAATGCCTACATTTGATAGTCAACTCTCATTGGTAGGTGCAGGTTCTCCATGTACACAACAGGTGGTAGAAAAAGTCCATGCGTTTTCCCACAAGACCATGCCTACTAAATTGCAAGACTTGGCTGAGGTTAGTCTTATACTCAATCCACCACAAATAAAGCTACCCAGCAAGCAATTCTCTTGCAAGTTTCCCTATACTGTTATAAAGTCTAGTCCAGCTTAATTATTTCAATTCCAATTACATTATACAAAGTTACAAGTTAGACCTTCTGTTGGCTCGGACCAGACGGGAAAGCCTTCGTTTCCCTCGAGCATTGAAGAGCCATGGACGCTCAACACCGGTTTTGTGTTTGTGTTGCTCAATTCTCAGCACTGCCGACCGGGATCAACGCACATGCCTTGCCGTCTCAGAGATAAACTGACCCAGTCGCCTTGCCATAAGAGTTTGGCCCTTGTCAAAGTCGCTCGGATCTTTATTCCTGCCATTTCTCCTGCATCCGTCACAAGCTGATTATGAGAACTGAATCTAAGGCCTTTTCCACACTAATACGTTTTCATTTAAAAAACACACTCTCCAATTTGGTCTTCCATCCACACAGAGGCGGCATTTTTTTATTAACAAATTCAAAGCTTTTTGAAAACGCTTTCCAAAGTGGATACATATGAAAATGCCACTTTCATATTGTTGCTCTTTCTTGTTGCTCAAACAGTAGAGCGTCAGCTTTTGCAACGCCAAGGTCATGGGTTCGATTCCCATGGAAAGCAAGAACGGATATGAATGTAAATGTGTACCTTGAAATGCAATGTAAGTCGCTTTGGATAAAAGCGTCTGCCAAATGCATAAATGTAAATGTAAATATTGAACCCATAGATATTATACCAGTATTTTGCCTGTTATGTGCTATTCACATTCACACAGTTGGTAAAATATGTTACTTTGCACACTCTTCATATCACAGTCCTGCAAAGATGACAGAAAATGTACTCGCATTTGCTGTCCTGCGGCAAGGTGAATTTAGTGTTTTCCGGATTAATGTAGACGTAGCCTTGTCTACCCAGACCTTAATATGTGGCCTTGTTAGGAGATGATCAGCGATATTCGCTTCCCCCGTGACTGGTCATGATGTTTTGGCTCAAGTGTATTTTCCATTTTGTTTGGTTTATAGAAAAAGAGTTGCTTGAGCTGCTGAATATTTTTGTACTGTGCAAGTTTCTTCTCCAAATCATTTTTTCACTTCCCCTTCCTAAGAGAGAAGCTCATGGTGAAAAAGGTTAGTGTTCCTGTCTTGTTTTATATAATTAGATAAAATGCATCTTCTTGGTACTCATTATGAAGTCAAACATGCTGAACTTGAACCCAGAGGCTGCATGAACGAGTTGTGGAAATAGAAAAAAAGGACCTGTAGATAAAACACCACGACTGGTGCACTCACCACATCGGCCGCATCAGATTTGCAGTTTTCTTCTAATGCTGATGCAATCTGAAAACCACAAGCAAATCTAATCAGGTCCTACACTTTGAGACCCAAAGAAGCAGATTCAGATATTCACACTATAAACCATACTTTTTTTAAACAAATACCTTTAGGGTGAGCTCTTCCTTCTTGTATCCCAAAAGCTCCAAATATTGGCCACGTGCATCTTCTTCAAAGTTTACCTGAGAACATGAATCTATTGGTTACACCTTGATGAACACAAGCCTGCTGTTCTTGGAACACAAGTACGCCAGTTTAGGAAGTATTCACGTGTCCTACCTTCAAAAAAGACCAAATGGTCTTCTCAAATTCATTCTGAGCAGCTTCAGTCTTGGTTTGGCAGTACTCAAGGAAGTTTCCTGCGGTGAGTGTCGCCTGAAGTTGGTTTGATCGATCAAGGAAATCGGTTTCTGTCACAACCTGACTGACATGCACGACATGGGCAGAAGTTTGCTGGGGCTGATGGGCCGGCGGCTTGATGTTGTCCAAAGTGACTAGTTTGCCACCAAACTGTTCACAAAAAGACAAAGCGGATTTAAAACAAGCACACAAGGTTTAGGGCCCTATCACACCGCGACGCAAGTGTGTTTTGCAGTTTCAGCCTGACACAATTATCATTTTCACGCCACATTGTTTAAATAGCAAATGCATGTGCGCCCCCATTTGTGCGCCCATGGGCTGCTGGTCTGAAAACCAGGTGTGTTCGGGCGCATTGTTGAGGCGTTGAGGGAACTGAAATAGTCTGAGCCAGTAGCAGTAGCCAGTAACAGCTCGTTGTTGTGACTTATTTTGACGGCACTGAGAACGCCAGAGCTTGAGCTCACAGCGCTCGCATTCTCCGAGTTCATTAGTTTACGATGTCTAACAGTCGTCTAATACGTTATTAGATAGAACTGTTATACATAGAAAAACAGTATATGAAAAGGCATTAGCGTATGTCGTGTGCTTGATGTCCAGTGTTTGCTAGTTGAGCAGAAATACATAATCATGTTTCTCTTGGTCCCCTCAAAGTCACGTTGGATTTTTCTCCTCAGTAAATGTTAAGAGGTCCATCTATCACTGTTCTCCATGTTCATTAGAGTTAGTTTCTGGAGTAAATATATAAACTATATTCTGTGTTTACACAACTTAAAAGGTTAAAAAAACTTAAATGGCGGGTGCTGGTGTTTCGCGTGTGTTCGGCCAATCAGCGTCACTAACGTCACTGTAGTTCCTATAGCGCTGGTTTAGACCGACTCTGATGTAGGAGATAAATTAGTTCCTCCAAAAGGAGTTCCTAGAACTAAAACCGTTCCTGCGGTGCGAACGCGCCAAAATCCGGGTACTTCCCGCAATAGTTCTAGGAACTATGAAAAGGATCGTCCGGTGTGAAAGCCCCTCATGATAGATCTGTGGCCACTCACAGCAAAAGACGCTCCGACGGGTCTCCGGATCCACTTGGGCGGTTTCTTCAGAGGAGTGATGGTGCTCTGGGAGGAGGAGGGCTGAGGCAGCTGGAGGGGCGGCAGCGTCTTCCCCGTACCAAAGGGATCCATATTTCCAAATGAGCTACTTAACTATTGACCCAAAGGACATCAGGAGCAACTGTGAGATCATCAATGTCCATGCTAGCTTATGAGAATGTGTGTATTCAGAGTTCAGTTGTACCTGATCAGCCTGTAAATGATTGGCATCATCATTGCTTCCTCCCATAATGGAGTAGATGCTGATGTGGCCATCGAAGGCGGCGGCGGAGAGCACAGCTGGGTTCCTCGGGCACCACTGGATGTCGAAACACCACTGGGCACTGGTGGGCAGCTCGTACAGGACCTGACAGGAGACAGGAGGACATGCATGTCATACCGCTCTCAGTGTCGGCGGGGCCACGGTGTTCTTCAGGTCTCACCTCAGCCGTGTTGGGGTTCCAGCACAGGATCCGGTTATCTTTCCCACAGCTCAGGAGCAGCTCTGGATCTGCTACACTCCACGCTATGGACAAGATACCTCTGAAAGCACACACACAGATAAGGGTTAGGGGTGTGTGATGTGTATCGCCAACTATTTTTTAAATGGAATGATGCATGTTTCCAATGAAAAGTAGCTTAAAGCCTGGTCAAAAAATGTCACTGGATGGCGTAATGTTGGCAGTTTACATCCATTTTCTCTCCTAATCCATGCTTACATATTGTAACTATAATGTAATATCCAGCCAAATATCCAATAAAGCTGTTATCATTTACTTTTTGTCAAATAACGGAAAGAGTATGATATAGTGACTGACTGCATGTTAAACAGCAATCTAAAAATGCTGGATTTGTCACCAGTCACTTTTTTGAAAAAAAGTTGCAACAGGGGGCTGAAAAGTCGCTAATCTATAACACTCGCTAAATTTGCCAACTCTGGTCCCAAACAAAGCCAGAGCTGAAGTGTTGTGCTCCGTTCCTGAATATCAGCACTTTAAATGATTCAATGATCCAATGACCCATTCATAAAGACAGTCGCTTCATTCTTGAATGATTCAGTTGAATGATTCAGAACTAATCGGTCACTGACTCAAACATTAAGACAAAGATAAATGACATGCCACCATTTGATGGAGGTTTTAGTTTAATATTTAAAGTATTTTATAAAAAATTAAAAAACGACTTCAAATTTCAATACTCAAAATATTATTTTTAAAATAATAATCTATAAATACATCTAAATGCTGCTTTAGATGCAGTTTCTGTGTAACTTTTGCAGTGCAAAAATTGATTTTGATTGGTAAAAGCCTATAGTGTCTCGTTCTAGTTAATTGATGTAAGAATTTTACATAACAGATTATGCATAAATCTAATAAGGTTAAAACAATGCCCTTATAAAGGTAAAAATGCTCCTGGAAATCAACTCAAGGTGGCACATATCACGCCTTCATGATAAAATGTCATTTCTGTCACTGCTGTGAACGGAACACCGCACAGAATATGAAAAATATGAAATTTTTTTGGGTCAATATTGGTTTACATCTACCTTGTGTGGTTCTCCAGCACTTTGAGAGGCGAGGTGGCAAAGCGCAGGTCCCACATCTGTATGACGGGCATCCGGTCGTCCTCAGAGGCCAGAACCAGCTGAGTGGCCACCTCTGGGTTCCAGGACAGGCCAGAGCAGTGCATCTGAACCACAACACACACACACACACACACACATCACTGCAGGAACACGGACACGTCTCAGATGATAACAGTAACAGTGACATAGAAATACTATAGAAGTACCACAGTCGTAACATGATACTTTGTCATTAGTGAAGTACACACAAGTTATTAGGTATTATTAATGCAAGTTCACCGTTATTATAGGGAGGTTTAGTCAAATCAAGGCAAAGGCGAATAACTGCACAAACCCGGTTGCTGTGGTCGCTGACTTTGATGATCAGGTCGTTCTTTCTCAGGTCCCAGACTGAAGCTTTCCCGCTGGGACTGGCCGAGGCTAGGATGTGCTGAACCTGCTTGTTCCACGCCACACAGCTGATGTCCTCCAGGGGCTGGGGGAACAAACACCTCAGTCAAACTGGACAGGGCTGCTCACTGTCCCAGGACAAAACAGTCCAGCACAAGCCTCTATGAAGTTTCCATCCCTAGATATATGGGTTTCACTTTATTTTGATGGTCCCTTTAACACATTCTGTTGACTAGAGTTGTCAGAAAGTACCATTTCGGTACCAACATTTTAAAATTGTGACGCTTTGAGCAGATTTGTAAACACCTCTGATTGGCCTTTGTGTTCACTCACTCATCGGATATGTCTGTGATTGGCTACAATCGTATGAGAGTCGTTTCAAAGCACAAGCAGGCGTCTATCAGCAGACCGGTCCTGCTTTCAAACACTCGGTGAAGAGCGCCCTTGATGTATTTTTACAACATGTTTTTGAAGCACTGATCATTGTAGCCAATCACAGACAAATCCGATTAACGCGTGAGTACAATGGCCAATCAAAACAATTACGATTCCGCTCAACAGCGCTCAAAGCGTCACAATTTTAAAATTTCAGTACCGACTTAGAACCGAAGTCGGTACTTTTTGACAACTCTACTGTTGACTATTAGTAGACTGTTAGCAGAAGTTGACATGTAGTTGCAAAGTAACTTTGGCACTGCTCCCTCTTACCTAAACTCATTACTTCAGACTTATGTGCCATCCAGAAACCTGCGCTCTGCTAGCGAATGTCGTCTTGTGGTACCATCTCAAAGAGGCACAAAATCTCTTTCTCGGACCTTTACCATGGCTGTTCCCTGTTGGTGGAATGATCTGCCTAACTCAACCAGAGCTTCTGAGTCAGTAGCCACTTTCAAGAAACTGCTGAAGACATATCTTTTTCGGCAGCACTTGATTCAGTAGAATTAACACTTTCTCTTCTATTCTATAAAAAAAAAAAAAAAAAAAACTGCACTAAAATTAAACTGAGAGGGGTTATAGCACTTATGTATTGTTGTCCTACTGTTAGTTTAACTGCTTCTATTGTTCTCATTTGTAAGTCGCTTTGGATAAAAGCGTCTGCTAAATGAATAAATGTAAACGTAAATGTAACTTATAGTCAGTATATTGTCTGTTGGGAAGCATCACAATAAAGAGTTAGCAGATATTAAGCACAGTCTACTAATACTCTGAGAGTTTGCTGACATTTAGTTGCAAAGTTACTTATAGTCAACAGACTGTTCAAGAGGGACCATCAAAATAAAGTGTACCGACATATATTGTAGGCTTGCTATTTATTATTATTTGTGTGACAGTTGTTTCATCCACCAGGCACAGATCTGATTGCTTAGAACAGAGATTTGGTTCAATCCTGTAACCCAGTGTTTCTCAGCCTTTTAACTCCAAGGGCCTCCATTGTGGACAACAATATTCAAAGGCTGTAACGCTGTAACGTACATTGCCTGAAATGGCTTGTTTTCAAACATTTTCATCTGATTTACAGAAACTAGTGTCCATTATAAATTGAGAATAATTTTTTTTACGGATTCTCAGACCAGGATTCGCCCACGATTCTGAATAGACAACTAAACTATCAGTTTGAATGAATAATTCAACGACTCGCACATAAATACTTCGCTTGTTTCATTACTGGATGAATCAGCGTTTTTAAACGAATCTCTCGTACGAATGATTCAAGACAAACATTTTTTAACAGTCGCCTGTCGCATCTTCTGGTGTAACAATGTAATCAATACAATTGTTATTTGAAGGGTCAAGTTTCTTTCAAAAGGTGATTTGTTCTATGTTCGCTACTCAGTGTTTATGCTCTAGTGTCCATAGATTAAAATAACTGATTCAATTAGAGGTTTTAAGAGCTAAATGTTCTTCAAGTTTCCCACATTTTTTAACTAATGAATTTGTGAGACTTTTCCAGTTTTGTGATTTGCTGGATAAGGACCTCTAAATATATTTTACTCACAAATGCTACCCGATAAAATATTTTAGACCTGTATATTCGATATAAAAATGGCCAAGGCATTTTAAGATTCCATTCATTTATTCCAGATCTAGACGTCACTCTGGTTCGTGAACCAGTTGAGAAGTTCAAAAGAAGTTGTTTAACCAGTGAACTAAAGACTTGTTTTGATTTCTGAAACACCTAATGGTGCAACTCGGACACATCGTTCGTCAGTGATAAAAACATGAGAAAATGGCATTGTTAAAAACACAATAAAATGTGACGCATTTGCACATGAGATCTGTACCTGTGTTTTGGGTCCTGGCGTCATTGGGGAGCTGAAGTTGTTCAAATCCCAAATGTAGATTTCGGACTCGTTTCCCCCGGAGGCCACAAGGTTTGGCTGAAGAGAAGGAAACAGTCATGTACACTGATCATCAAAACACCACTTACGGTCATGGACAAATCATTATTCATAAGACCTTGGTTAGGGTCATTACCTGAAAGGAGTTGACATCGAGGGCTCTCACTGGCCCCGAATGTTTCTCGCTCTGGGAAATGATCACTTCACTATCTCCAGCAATGACTTTGGAGGCGTCGTAGAGGATGATGTTGCCGTTCTCCCCTCCAGCGATGAGAACGCCTGATGGCAAACCCTGGTCTTCAATGCCCTGCGGACCCCACACTAGCTTGTGGTATCTGGAGACAGGACACAAGCGTTACTACTGCGCTTCAAAACTAACCCCAAGTACTGAGATGAGAACAACATTTGCTTTCACCAACTGGCCCACAACTTTATTGGGGAATTGCAACATTAAATTGTTTGTATCGATTTTCAGAAATGATATTCCCTCGCTGACATAACAGAAAGCTAAAGAAAAAAAAACACACTGACGACTCCTTTCAGGCAGTTCAGAATCGTTTTTTTAATTTATTTTGCAGACCTTTTACATTGAAAAACAGCTATAAACACACGATATGAAAGGTAATATCTGAAAAAGCATTTTCTTAATGCACTCCCCCCTTGACAGGTGTGGCAAAGGTTTTTAGGATCCTGGTTTCTGCACTGTTTTATAGGAATAGCTATATTTTAACTCCATTATCATTTACTCATCATCATTTTTAAACCTATATAAAATGCTCTTGTTTCCATGGAAAGCTAAATAAAGAGATTCACAGAAACTCAAAGGTGCTCTTCACCTTTCAGTGAAAGTAAAGCTGCACGATTAAACGTTAGAAGATTGTGAAACACCCGCTCGATCTTACTCCTAAATGACAGCGATCCCCCTGTGTCTATTAAACCTGACAAGTACAATCACAGCGAACATTCATCCGGTAAAGAAACAAGTGAAGTATTAATGAGCGACTCATTGAATCAAACCATTTTTTTTTATATACTTCATTCAGATTCATTGAACATTTTAAATAGACTGCAACAATTAACATTTGTCAGAACCTCTAATAATTTACATGTTGTTTTGTTTAGTTTGTCCGTTTAAAATCATGGGAGAATCGTAAAAAAGTAAATGAAATTTTACTTTCTAAATGGAAGTAAATGGGGATGTGCGCTTACATTAAAGATTTATTCCAAGTCTTCCGAAGTCATACAAGATAAGTCATCATTGGCCTATTTTTGGAGAACTGTTACAGGATCACATTAAAAGCAGTGTGTGTGAGTCAGTGTCAGTGTACCTGTGCGGAGAGGAGAAAGAGCCACATGACTTCATGGCTAAAGTGGGATCCGCCAGATCCAGTTCGAAGATCTCCAGTGACGCAGTGGTGCTGAAGGTGGCATCGAGCTGCTGGGCCGAGGTACCTGACAGTTAATCATCAAGAAGACTAATTAGACCACATAATCAGGGTTCCCAGACGTCTTGGCCAATGACTTTTCCGTGTATTTTCCAGTTCCTTGTGATTACTATCAGGTCTCGACAATAAGGACTATTCGGGACGGGAAGAAACGTTGATACCGCCCGATCGGGACAGTGCTGCATTTAACATTCGCACGACGTGTTTTTAAGCATTGCCAATTTAAACATCCAAGCGCAAGAAAACACGAAAGAGAACTCAATTCAACAGTGTGAGAAGTTGTGCACACAGGTGCTGCTTCTCGGACAGCGTGCGAATGCTGAACTGAGCTCTCTGAGATCTCACATCCAGTCTCAGCGAGTTTCCTAGTAAACACAGTCTGTCTTAAGCGAACATAAACAGTTGAGAAAGAAAACGCATGTGTAACAGTATATTGGACAAGTGCAGCTCTTAAAGTGACAGCAGCCTAATATGCCTGATGCCGTCTTTGCTTTAATGTTAATCAAACAACAAAGGACAAAATCTCACATTGATCTTGACTGAATAACTTTTGTAACTTTAATAAGGATTAATCTATATTTAATTTATACAGTAAAGACTATGCAGTGATATTTTACATTTATTTATTAATTTTCTCTACCTGAAAATTACTGTTAAGACTTGAAAAACATGAAAAGCAGTGTTTATTTTATTTGTATGCGTGTCCCATTACTTGTTCTATTTTATCACTGCCAGATTACTTGTCTTTAACAATATTTGAAATTTATATGAGTTAGGCTAGTAATTTTAAGTTTCACAACCTTATTTATTAAGGTTATGGGTTAAAAACAACGAAGACAATAATTAGGCCTATTTTATTTATTACTTTTTTTATAAAAATTTTGGCAGGAAACTAAACGTTTGAACCACTGGCCTGACCAGCCAGTAAAAAACATCCTTATCTTTGAGTCCTGACTATATAGGGGTATATTTAAGAACCAAAATCAAATCCAGAATCAATTCATTAATGATTCATTTATACTGATTTGTGATCAATTTTTCGGTTTCACTTTATTTTGATGGTCCCTTTAACACATTCTGTTGACTATAAGTAACGTTGCACCTACAAGTCTACTAACTCTCATTAGAGTGTTAGTAATGTATTAGTAGACTGGTAGGTTTAGGGTTAGTAGAGTAAGTTGACAAGTAGTTGCAAAGTAACTTATAGTCAGTATATTGTCTGTTGGAGGAGCATCAAAATAAAGAGTTAGCAGATATTAAGCAGAGAGTTGACTAATACTCTAATGAGAGTCAGTTGACATGTAGTTGCAAAGTTACTTATAGTCAACAGACTGTTCAAAATGGACCATCAAAATAAAGTGTACCAATTTTTCTTGTAAGGACTATGAAGCTATTATATAAAATTACATATGATTAGTTATGAATCATATTTTATCATCATATTTGACTGTTAATGAACAACGGATCTATTAAGCATTTTGTGAAAGTGTAAATGAATGTTGTGTTTCTCTTTCACTGCTTAGCTGGTGCCAGTGACATGTCCCATCAGGCCGGCTGTCCCGTGTGTGACGGCTCGTGTGGAGGAACGGGCACCGTTACCTGCTGCCAGGTAGATGGGGTGCTGCTGCGCGGGACTCCAGGCCTGGATAGCGGTTCGGTTGATCTCTTTTAGCTTCATCCTAACATTAAAACAACAACACACATGTTATATGCTACGATTACTTTAACAAATGTCACCATTTACAGTTGGCGTCCACATTTTCTAGGTAAGGAAACTGGTAATAAGGTTTGTTCTGTTTAGTAGACTGCAATCTCCTAAAAATAATGCAATTAAACATGAATAATTATTATGACAATAAACACGTGATCTATTATAAAAGCAATAGTGCAAGAGCAGATGGGACCTTGAAATGCCAACAAATCTAATAAGATCATGCTGCTAAATAACTTAAGACATCAGGTACCTATCACAACTGGCCAATTAAATAGGATTACCCTTAATTAGGGTTTCATAATCAAACACTGTCAGCATAAGAGGAGACAAGATCACAGCAGACATGTCTTATTGAATGAAACATGCAATCTACACACGTAATGTCCATTTAAAACAGATAATAATGTAGCAGAGGGGCTAATGCAGCAGTCTACAGGAGGATTTCCTTTAGTTTTAAAAGTGTTTACCTTGTGTTTTCGTTCTTCCAGCGGTCAAACACACAGATTTATCCACACACAAACACGAGCGTTGCAGTGAATTAGCAGAATAACTTTATAAGATCCGAGGGTTTGTGTGTTTTGTGTGGGATTTGCACCGGCTCCGGCTGCAGATGGACTGTATTCCACGTCCCCACTGCTGTCCATCAACGTGGCACCACAAGCCCCGCCCACTCTCGTGACGACTTCCGGCAACATCTCCCATTCCGGCGGAAGAGCTCTGTGTTGTCCTGTAAGTGTGTGTTTTGGGGTTTTTTGCCACCTGTGTCTGTGTTTGTACTTCTCAAATCTCACATAGTGATGCTTTTGGCTGCTTCGGCGATGTTAAGAATATGTTTGCATGCAGAAAGTTTATTGTATGAAATCATATTCACTGTGGGCAGATTGACAGTGGATAATAAGTCCATTTACACGCAGTAACGTTACTGTGGCAGTACCATGGTACAGTGATGGTATTAGTCAATGTTAAAGGGTTAGTTCACCCAAAAATGAAAACTCTGTCATCATTTACTCATCCTCATGTCGTTCCAAACCCCCTTAGACTTTCGTTCATCTTCGAAACACAAATGAAGATCTTTTTATCTTTTTAATAGACTTTTTTTTTTTAATCTGAGAGGCTCCATTGACAGCTACGCAACTACTTTGACGCTTCAAAAAGTTCATAAAGAGATCGTAAAACGAATCCATATGAATCGAGTGGTTTATATGATGAACAGATATAATTTAGGCTTTTATTAACATATTACCATTGATCAGCAAACATAAACCAGCTCAACAGAATCTGCTGGACACGAGAGAACAAACCCCAGTGGTTCTGAGCTCTGACTGAGTGATTAACATTCATTTACCATGGTAATTTAAAGATGTTATTATAACATAGCACGGTATGTCTAAACAAAGTGGCAGTTATAGTTTTTTTCTTGGTAGCACAAAACAGAAGTGATAGAATAAGAACTAGTGTATAAGCATTTGTGCATAATGATAGTAAATGTAGAAGTGAAATTGCTGTTAAATCAAGCTGAATGCATTTGAATAAAAAAAAGCCTTCAAAAAGAGTGTTGTCTAAATGTTAAGCTTAAGATGTGAAAGATTTATAGCATTTATATTTATATTTAAAGTTGAACAATGTCAACATTTTTACAAAATAGCTAAATCTGTTTTAATATGGTTATAAACAATTGAGCCGTGACTATATTCACAATATAGCAAGTGGCTTATTGCTTTTATTATGATTTGCAGTTACATCATAAATTTATAACACTACACTTTTCGTTCCATTGACTTTCATTCATACGCATGCGAATGCTTCAGACCAGGCAAAAAGTTTCGTTCCAAAGCTCAAGTTTGGTGAACTCTGACCTGGCAATTCGCTTCACCTGAACATGTGTGACCAGTGGAAGGTCAATACGTCACGGCGTGACCTGAATTAAAAGAACGGGTTTTTTGCAATAAAGTCGAGTTAATTTATTTATATTTCCTTTTGAGTGTATTATTATTTCTTATATGTTGAATTCATGTTTTTCGCAATTTTGCACACTCAAAGTCTAGTGTGACCGCAGCTTTATGCTAGAGCAGAGAGTCACAACCTTTTTGATCCCAAGATTAGATCCCCTAATTTGAAAACCCTCTAATCTGATATCTAAAAATAACTGCTCAAAAATATGATGTGAGTTAAATGTTGTACAACTTTATTTTTTAGTGTTTAGCTTTTTTTTTGTTTTAAGATTGTATTATTAAAACTGTATTTAAATCAATTTAAGACTAACTGGAGCCCCCTAGTGGGCCCCGGACCCCTGGCTGAGAAGATATAGAGCCTGACACAACAGATCGCTCCTATCAAGCAAAGACATAGAATTCATCCAGTAAACATCCAATGTAGTAATATACAGATGTTGTAACATTGCAAAATTTCTTCCCTGACAATATGTGGGTGGGGACCATATTTCTATAACAAATAAAATGACATTCATTTTCTTACCTGAATAACCTAATTTGAGCTTTCTTGTAATTTTGTGTATCGTTTCTGTGTCGAGTAAATATGAGTTGTTATACCTTCGGATGTCTACAGTACAACTAAATCATTTCTTTCAGAGGACAAGCCCTGAAGCAGAGACTGTCAGACGGCATCACTCTCTTCATTGGTGGTAGAGCAGACAGTAGAGCATAGGGTTGAGTGGGGTAAGATGAGCCAGCTGGTAAGTTGAGACACCCTTGTATCTAGGCAACTGTGAATTGCTTTGTCATGTGACCACACATTCTGAAGTTGCACATCATATCCGGCTGTCTGTAAATGAGAGAAACACAGAGGAGAAGTAAGTTTGTTTTACTTGGAAAGTTTTTGTTTTTCCATGTCAAAGTATATTATTCAGCTCTAAAATTATACAATGCCGCCCACACTGAAAATCTGACATTCAAAACAAGATTTAAACTATACAGGTTTAAAAATAAACAGAACGTTTTGTCATTTAAAAAAAAAAAAAAAAAAACTAAGGTTATGAATTAAAATTAATTTATGTTGATAATATTTTCATTTTATAATACTTTGTAATGAAAAAGCATTTTGACTCGTGGGCTTAGACTCATGGACCACTGTAAATCATAAAATAATTTTTCAAATGTAGATAAAAAAAAAAAAAACATTTATTTGATCAAAAATACAGTAAAAACAGTATTATTGTGAAATATTATTCCAATTTGTTTATTATGTGAATATATGTTAAAGTGTAATTTATTCCTTTGATCAAAGCTGAGTTTTCAGCATCATTACTCCAGTCTTCAGTGTCACATGATCCTCCAGAAATCACTCTAATATGATGATTTGATGCTCAAGAAACATTTATGATTATTATCAGTGTTGAAAACAGATGTGCTGCTCATGATACATCTTATAAAGGAGTCTTTGATGAATAGAGAGTTCAAACAAACAACATTTGTGCAAATGTCTTCCCAGACGGCCCAGATCCGGCCCACATCTGATACCCGTGATATCCACATGTGCCGGATGTGGCCCGGATCTGGGCCGACACTATGGTTTACAGTCACTTTTGATCCATTGAATGCATCCTTGCTGTATAAAACTAGTTAAAACATATCTTACTGACACCAACTTTTGAACGGTAGTGTATGTAATGTTAAAATGCAATTTCACATGCATTTCATGTTGTTGTCAAATCCAGGAAAGCTATCATGCCACGAAACTACATCCGAAAGACTGACTGGGGCTCGGTGACCTACGAGGAGCTGGAGAAAGCGTTCGTCGAAGTCAAGCGAGGGAAATCCATCAGAACGGTGGCGAAGGAAAGGAAGATCGGCAGGTCCACCCTGCAGAGGTACATGAAGAAGGCTGAGGAAAAGAGAGAGAAGACAGTCGGGTACAGGGGAACGGCGGAAGCCAAGAGGATCCTGTCCGAGGAATCGGAGGAGGAGCTGGCAGAAAACATCAGGACGCTGGCTGAACGCACACACAGTCTCACTCCAAAGAAATGCAGGGAAATGGCGTTTGAATTCGCACAGAAGAACAACATTCCCGTGCCCAACAACTGGGGGGAGCAGAGGTTAGCAGGTAGGGCTTGTCCTGACAGCTCTTGCAGTGAATCACACACTCCTCTTGTGTTGCTGACTTCAGTTTGTGATTCCTGTAGGTCGAGACTGGCTTAATAGTTTCATAACCCGCCACAATCTCTACCGGCACATAACTGAAGCCACGTCTTTGGGAAGCCACGGACAGGTGAAGGCGCTAAAGCAAATCTGACCAAATGATTAACTGTTGACGGAGTTCCTGCAGTCATGGAGAACTTCCAGGCTTGGAGATATGGAAATTAATATAGTCTGAGCATTTATAAGCTCAAAAATAATTCAGAAAGTGCTCTTTGAGATGAAATGATCTAAAATGATTTTTTTCTTTAAATGGAAATGAGTGTAGACGTGATGGAAACGCTTTGCGGCAGATTTAGAGCTCTTATGTCTGATAAAATACTATATCCATTTTCTAGATCATCAGTTTCAGTCTCGTCAACCAAGACGAAATCAAAGAGGAGAGTGGTGTTCCTGTCCCGCTTCATGCCGCTTCAGAGGAGGAGCGCGCCGCTGAGATCTGTGCTTCAGACCGAGACCTGTTAAACACAGACTTATTTCTTACATGATGTTATATATGAGATATAGTTTAAACAAAAAAAAAAGTTTAAACATTGTGTTGCTTAATCTTGTTTCCTGTTGGTTTAAGGATATATTTAAGAATATAAGAATAAGTACTGCAAAATTACTTGATCACACATTATTAAATTATTATTATCATCATTATTGTACTTTTGTTGATGCTTTTGTAAATTATTTTTTCTTCAAATAATGGAACAAACATTCATGAAATGTTTCAAATCTGCATCCATATACAGTAGTGACCAAAAGTGATGTCCGGCCTAGGAAAATCCACACCTTCACCCTTTATTCAAATATATATATTTTTTTAAATGTGTTAAAGATGTTGTAAGCATATTGCGTCAATTGTTTTATCTGTGATAATAACGCAATGAAACATGCCAAAATGAGCCGACATAATTTTTGTCCAGGCTGTCATACAAAGAAATTATGGACACATGCAAAAACAAGAGAGAAAATGTCATATTTATTGATTATCTGATCATCTGATTATGTTGTAGTCAATGTACACTCTTAGGAAAATAAATGTTAATTGGGGTTCTATAGAGAACCCAAGGTTCGTTACTAAATTATAAAGAGCCTTTTAGTTAAAAAAATTTCTATATAAATAAGGAGAAATGTCTAAAAAAATGTGTTGCTAGTGATAAAGTGTTGAGCTGTTTAATTCATATAATTTAATAGAAATACAAATTAATTAATTAAAACTACATTCATAAAATGATCCCATGATGGGAACCCTTAAAAGTTTGAAAAGCATGAAGCACCTGATGGAACCTTTTAAGGTTCAATATAGAACATTTATAGTGACACTTTTTTTGCCAAATAATTTTGTCAGATGAATACCTTAATCAAATCTAGTATTTTCCTCATATTTTTTTTTACTTTTGCAAATTTTCTGGCTGGTCCTCATTTACAGTTAGGTAGATAAGTGATAACATTGAGTTGATGTCCTGCGATTTGATATACGTGCTAGCCTGACGGGAGAAGAGAAAGTGCAACGTGCAATATGGCGGATCATGTCCCGCCTTCTAGATAAAACAGCCAATGGCTGATTAGTAAAGTCATCACGTCACTGCAGAAACAGGGTTCAGAGACGCTTCCGGCCTGAAAAATGCCGTTTTTTGTCATGATTTGAGCATTTAGAAATCACATTTATGAGAAAGTTTTTGTCAGATATAATTTCTGATGTCAAATTTAATCGTAAGCTTGCATGGTGATTTAATTTCTGATGTCAAATTTAATCGTAAGCTTACATGGTGATTTAATTTCTGATGTCAAATTGAATCGTATGCTTGGTGAATAGCTTTGGAGAATTTGATTGGAAGAGATAGGAGCTGCCGTTTCAAAGATGGCCGCCGAGTGAAATGTGTCTACTAGGCCTACTAAGTATTTTAAACAGCATTTAGCTAATTCCAAGTATTCTCTCAAACATTTATTTTGAATATTAAGTGGTAATAAAATGTATTGCTTTATTTTATTTTTTAATTGTTTATTGATGGGGTCAAATTGATACAGTTATAATAACAGAAAGGTATAGCCTTGATTACACTCGGCTAGAGCTCCAATAACACATTTTTACTTGATTTTAAGATTATTTTGAGGAAATAGTGGGTTAAATTCTAATTTAGCATGATTCATCATTTCGATGTGGAAACATATCTCAACAGAACACGAGGGTTGGCTCATGAAGGGGTTGCATTATTCCGCATTGACGCATAGGCGGCGCTGTTTCTCTGTGTTTTGTCCAGTTAGCGCACAGTGGGAGTGTTCCGCCTCAGTCAAGGGCTCCTTCTCCAACACTGCTGTCATTTACAACCAGAAAACACACAAAGAAAGACGACTGGTGGGAGTGTAAATCTGAGCGCGTGACAGTGCTGGATGTGTGTGTGTGTCCGTGTTCATGCTGTCTGTGGGTCGTCGGGTCTGATCTCGGGCGCAGGTGGATCATTTACCGCATTCATCAGCGGAGCCTCGGACATCAGCATCAGCATCAGTCGGTAAGACAACTAGGCTACTCATATAAATGATTCATGCCAGTACATCAGATCACATCAATGAACTTCACGATACGACTCGGTAAACTGCTTTATTAATCAGCCTGAATAAGTAGCCTAATGAAACCACATTTTCCTTTAAATGAATGTATCCTTTGAATAATAATGCCTGGTTTCATAAGAGGGAAGTGCAGCAATCTTTCATAATCATTAAAGGATTTGTTTTGTTTTTATAGCAAGACATAACGTCAGTGTGTACTGTAGTGTTATTACACCTTATCTGTGTGATGGTAGCCTATATAGTAGACGGCGTTCATGTATGCTGGAACATTATGATACTGGTCTGTACTGCACATTATGGTAGACACAGCCTTACAGAAATGCAGTAGGAACTGTTGAATACCAGTACATTTTAGGAAGTAGTTTATATTCATTCTGTTTTGACTTGCTTTTATTAGCAAAGCAGAATCAGATGACTCACTCATTGTTATGAAAATGAGAATTTTAGTCTTAGCGTTGCATTGCAAACGCCCATGTGAAGTGAAATTCATGATAGATTGGTTAAACCTGGTGCGTAAAATTCAATTCACATGTATTTGTATACCATTTTTCACAATACACATCATTTCAAAGCAGCTTTACAGAAAATGCATGAGTCCATATTATAATTTCGAGAGATGTGTTATCAGAGGTGTCTAAGTTATGTATTTCTGAAAAAATGTACATATACAAAATCACAGTTAGCTAAAAATGTATTAATTTAACAATGTAATAATTTAAGGGAAAAACAATGAGCTCATTGAAGTAATGAATACTTGTTGAAAATGTAGATGAACACACACACTTGTGACCGCACATTCTTTATTAATGCACAACAAGTGTTGTATTCGGAAAACATTTGAAAGATATGACTCGGTGGAAGAATTTTTTATTTTTCACATTATATTTATTACTATTAAAGAATTAAATAATTTATTGAAAATTGGTGTCTTTTATCATATGTAAAATAACTGCAACACTCATTAAAGGGGTAGTTCACCCAAAAATGAAAAATTGCTGTTCATTTTCTCACCCTCAGGCCATCCAATATGTAGGTGTCTTTTTTTTCTTCAGTAGAAATGTAAAGAAGATTTTTAGCTGAAACCGTGGTCATTGGTGATTCATTAAATGCAAGTCAATGGCTACCATCTCGTTGAGAGTAAAAAAACAACAACAACATACAGGCAAAACTAAATTAATACCCATGACTCCTTACGATGGATTGATGTCTTATGAAGCGAAATAATTGGTGTAGCAAAGTTAAATCTCAGTGAAGGAGGAGGAGGCTGGAACCGGCGACCGTTCAACGTAACTTTAATATCATAAAATAAACAAACAGAAAACGAAAGTAAAGCGTAACAAAGCAAGCAAACATAAACAAAACCCAACATGTAGTCCAGGCCTGGTCCTCTCTCATCCTTCACTGTCGTCGCTCCTCCTTTTATCCTTCTGGAGCTCAACTGTATGACTCGAGACCGGTGTGCCGTGCAGGTGAGGCTCATTAGTCCAGTCAAGTCACCTTTATTTATACAGCGCTTTTTACAATACAGAGTGTTTCAAAGCAGCTTTACAGAGATACCAGGAAAATAATGTTTGTTTCTAGAAGAAAATAGCATCACAATCCAGCTTAAGTTCAGTGATGGTTCATTTTTGTTGTAAAAAAGTTATTAATTTAGTTTATATATATATAGCTGCTCTGGAGAAAACCGCGACGACATTGTCCAGCTCAGTTCAGTTCTCATATAATGGTGTCAATGCAGGCAGATCAATAATATTGCTGAATATTAAATTAAATGTCCCCATTAGCACTCGCCTGTGCTGCATCGCTCCGTTCCCACGGCTCTCGGCCCCGCCCTGCTTGCCACTGTTCAAGCAACGGTCCTGAGCGCGTTCATGGCAGTCGAGCGCGAACTTCCCGTCGCATCATTACGTATGTGTGGGAGCTCAAAGGTTGGTAATCTGTGAAAAGTCAATCTTCCTGATTGAGATTGCGCAAGTGAATGTAATCTTGATATTTCTATACAAGCTGCGGCATCCATAAGCACAAGTTTGATAAGCAATACAACACGCATATAATCAAACACAGAGTCAGCTAACGTGTGAGTTTGCTCCCGCCCGCCCATTATACAGTGGTGATGGAGTTTGTGAACCTTTTAGAAATTTCTATATTTCTGCATAAATATGACTTAAAACATCATCAGATTTTTACACAAGTCCTAAAAGTAGCCAAAGAGAACTCATTTAAACAATTCAAGAAAATGATCCAATTGTCCATGTGAAGCTCTAGGATTAGCAGTTAATTTAAAGGTGAAATTATAAATATTTCCAATCAATGGGATGACAATCAGGTGTCAGTGTGTGCCCTGTTTTATTTAAAGAACAGGGATCTAGCAAAGTCTAAACTTCACAACACGTGTTTGGAAGTGTATAGTGACACGGACGAAGGACCTCAGAAAAGAGTTGTTGTTGCTCATCAGACTGGAAAAGGTTATAAAACCATCTCTAAAGAGTTTTGACTCCACAAATCCACAGTCAGACAGATTGTGGAGAAATGGAAGAAATTCAAGACATTCAATTGAAACAAATCCATGGCAGAGAAAGCCACTGCAAGAAGAAGATTGCTGCCCGTCTGTGCTAAAGATTAAGAGGACAAGCCAGAGAGGGCTATTGGTGGAAAATGTTTTGTGGACGAATGAGACAAAAATAGAACTTTTTGGTTTAAATGAGAAGCGTTATGTTTGGAGAAAGAAACACTGCATTCATTTCCAGCGTATATGCTGATGCCCTCTGTGAACATGTTGGTGGTAGTGTCATGGTTTGGGCCTGGTTTGCTGCATCTGCGACTGGACGAATTGCTATCATTGATGGAACAATGAATTATAATTTATGCCAGGCAATTCTAAAGGGAAATGTCAGGACATCTGTCCGTGACCTGAAGCTCAAGAGAAAGTGGGTAATGTGGCAAGACAGCGACCCCCAAGCACATCAGTCGTTCCACCAAAGAATGGTTAAAGAAGAGCAAAGTTAATGTTTCGGAATGGCCAAGTCAAAGTCCAGACCTTAATCCAATTTAAAATGTTGTGAAAGAGGCAGTTCATGTAAGGAAACACAGTTTAGGAAACGTTTAGTGGCCGTTATTGCTGCACAAGAGGGTCACACCGGATACTGAAAGCAAGGGATCACATACTTGTGCCGCTCTAAGATATGTAATACTGGGTCATTTTTCTCAATAAATAATTGACAAAGTAAATATTCTTTGCATAGACTGTAAAAAAAGATGGATGACGCACCTTCACTCTCTTCCATTGTAGAAAAGGAAATATATTAGATATGGCGCTTACATCTCGGAGCCCGAGTCTGCGCAGTAGTGAGCGTGAAGTGGAGCCGCGGGATCACACACACTCCCACAAAATCGCTTTGTACAGTTACTGCAGAACAACTCAATATGTCGGTGTGAAATAAACAGCTATGGGAATGTAGAAATGAAAGTTTAAGCTCCAATCTCTTCCTGAAGATCCCGAAAAAAGTTGTTGGTGCCTCAGTTTATTACTTCGCTCAGAGAAGCTGTAAATCTCATCTGTCAATCCTGACGTCACACTCCCGTTTTTAACTAAAACCAAACCTATTTAAAAAACGAACACTTGATCTTACATCAGCGTGATAAAAACGACCTAAAAGGACAGAAACCATCTTTGGAAGTGTAATTTGATTGTTTAGTTTGTCTCGCGTCTTATTAGATGACATGGAGAGGGCGGGTTTATGAGTTATACTGCATCCAGCCACCTGGGGGCGATAGACTTCACTTTTCAGGACTTGAGACAAGTCACATTTGTTTGTTTGGGTTTACTTTTGACTTTTAGAAATCTGATTATGTTTTAGGTCATATTTATGCAGAAATCTAGAAAATGCTAAAGGATTCACAAACATTCAAGCACCACTGTATGCCATTATGCGACACGAAGCATAAGACCTCATGTATCACCCTGAAGTGATTTGCTGTTTATTGTAATCATCTCTCTGGTCACAGTGCGGCAGGGAAAGCAGATACGGCCGCTGCTCTGCGGTGTGACATGTGAGACTCGCAGTCAGGAAAGTAGTAAAGTCAGCAGAGTCGCTCGCATCATGGCTGTGCAGAAAGGAAGGAAATGACCTTTATCAAAACACATCAGTCAAACGCATACCTGTCAACATTTGGTTTTCAAAATCCGGGAGATTTCTCCGGCGGGGGGGGGGGGGGGGGGGGGGGGGGGGGGGGGGGGGGTAAATGTACAACTTGTAACGACTGGAAATAAGGTGTGGCCCCTTTAAGAGCTTTGCGCTCCCTGTTGAACTGTCGGCAGTCTGTATTGTGCGCGTCGAACACCCCTTTTACTGTCTATGCATGCGAACACCCCATGTATGTGGGTAATTTCTGTTTGATGCTAATTTTTATCTTATTTTGTTTATTAAGTAACGATGTGGACGGTAGAACGTGTGACAGACAGTTAGGCTACACGAGTTCGATTTGGGAATAAAGTGCGAGTTGTGAGATGTCAATCGCCTCCGTGTGTCTGTCTGGCCTCTGCATGCAATAACTTCAGTTGTGAGCTATCCTTAATCTTCCTGAAGCAACGCGTTACAAACTGTACTTCAGTTTCATTGCGGGGACACCACCTTCACCTGCCATCATGTCTATCGGCTCGCTTTCGGGTTAAACTTTCCGCGACTGCGCAACTGGGTTATAGGTTGCCAGGTTGAGGTGACAAACGGGTTGAAATTGTAAATGGTCTGTGGATTGTGTGAATATAATGCATTTAATACAATCTGGCAACTGGTCAACATTAGCAAACATATTGGTCCGATTATTCATAAAGGAGTTTGGGCCATGCAAATTACGGGAGTTTCCCGGGAAAAATAACAAACCGGAAGGGGTCCGGGAGATAGGGCTAAAAAACGGGAGAAACCCGGGAAAAACGGGAGTGTTG